CGCGGCCCGCGCGGCCCCCCGGCGACGGAGCCCCCGGCCCGGGCGGCGGCGGTACCTGCGAGAACCCCGAGAAGTTCCAGTACGTGGAGAGGAGTCGCTCGTGCGCGCCGCGCTGCGGGCCCGGCGTCGAGGTGTTCTGGTCGCGGCGCGACAAGGACTTCGCGCTCGTCTGGATGGCCGTGTGGTCGGCGCTGTGCTTCTTCTCCACCGCCTTCACCGTGCTCACCTTCCTGCTGGAGCCTCACCGCTTCCAGTACCCAGAGCGCCCCATCATCTTCCTCTCCATGTGCTACAACGTCTACTCGCTGGCCTTCCTCATCCGCGCCGTGGCGGGAGCCCAGAGCGTGGCGTGCGACCAGGAGGCGGGGGCGCTCTACGTGATCCAGGAGGGCCTGGAGAACACGGGCTGCACCCTCGTCTTCCTGCTGCTCTACTACTTCGGCATGGCCAGCTCGCTGTGGTGGGTGGTACTGACGCTCACCTGGTTCCTGGCAGCTGGCAAGAAGTGGGGCCACGAGGCCATTGAGGCCCATGGCAGCTACTTCCACATGGCGGCCTGGGGCCTGCCGGCCCTCAAGACCATCGTTATCCTGACACTGCGCAAAGTGGCGGGGGATGAGCTGACTGGGCTCTGCTACGTGGCCAGCATGGATGCGGCTGCGCTCACGGGCTTCGTGCTGGTGCCCCTCTCCTGCTACCTGGTACTGGGCACCAGCTTCCTCCTGACCGGCTTCGTGGCCCTCTTCCACATCCGCAAGATCATGAAGACAGGCGGCACTAACACGGAGAAGCTGGAAAAGCTCATGGTCAAGATTGGCGTCTTTTCTATCCTCTACACCGTGCCTGCCACCTGCGTCATTGTTTGCTATGTCTATGAACGCCTCAACATGGACTTCTGGCGTCTTCGGGCCACAGAACAGCCATGCATAGCACCCACCATGCCCGGAGGCCGGAGGGACTGCTCGCTGCAAGGGGGCTCGGTGCCCACCGTGGCTGTCTTTATGCTCAAAATCTTCATGTCGCTGGTGGTGGGCATCACCAGCGGTGTCTGGGTATGGAGCTCCAAGACTTTCCAGACCTGGCAGAGCCTGTGCCACCGCAAGATGGCAGCTGGCCGGGCCCGGGCAAAGGCCTGCCGGGCCCCCGGGGGCTATGGCCGTGGCACCCACTGCCACTATAAGGCCCCCACTGTGGTCTTGCACATGACTAAGACGGACCCCTCTCTGGAGAACCCCACACACCTCTAGGGACACAGGCCTGCAAGGGGCGGCTGTTGCCCCCTCCTAGCCCCCCCTGGAGGAGACAGCTGTCTAGCAGCTGCCCAGCTGTCAAGGTCAGGCAAGTGAGTGCAAGGGGGCTGAGGACCAGGGCGGGCTGACTCTCCTTGAGCCCTCACTTGTCAGGACCCAGTGAGGCTCAGTCCCCAGTCGCCTAGTGCAGGGAGTGGGCCTGGCTGAGTCCCCACAGGGTCCTGGGGGAGCATGTGGAGAGGAGGAGCAGCAGAGGGGGGCGTGGTCCAGCAGGGAGTTTATTTAATGATGTAATTTATTGTTGAGTTTCTCCGGAAGCTGTAACTGGAATAAACCCCCGTGTGGCACCACTGCGTCCTCTCTGGGCTGGAAAGGGGGGAAGTAGAAGAGGGAGGGCCCTGCAGGAGTCTCCCTTGTGACAGAGCTGGGAGTGGGTGCTGGGCTCATCTCTGGCTCCCCACCAATCAGGAGGACAGCCCCTGTGGAACAGCTGTATTTTGCAGGAGTCCCAGATTCTAGGTGTGTGTTTTGGCCTCTCGCCTGTCTTCGCTCCTTTTGGCAACCTGCTTGCTTATCTCTGAGTCCTGGGTTCCTGCTTCTCAAAGTGAGACTGGGCTGCCTGCCAGGACACTCAGGGAATCCCCTGGGATGACACCCCACCTCTGGCCCTGGGGAGTCTATCCTGTTTTGGGGCTACACAAATGTCCTCATTTGTGTAGAAAATGAGGGCATCAGCCTGTCTCACAGGTTCCCTCAGAGGCTCGGGACCAGCTCCCACTGTCTCCTGTAGACCCATCCTGTTGTCCCCTCCCTGGGACCTGAGGGCTGAGGCTGGAGTCTGACTGTCCTCATCGCCTTCAAAGATTGCTGGTGTGTCCACCTCACTCCTTGGGACCCTAGTCAGGGCCCCACCCCACTCCCTCACCTCTCTGGGTGGAGAGGATTTGGGGCTGGACTGGTCTGTGGGCATCTTGGTAGCACAGACAACATGGGCGTAGAGATGAGGAGCCCTTGAGTATAGTGGGAAAAGGGCCCCAGCTCCTGAAGGGCTGTGGGAAGGTTTGAGGTGCTGAGCAGCAGTGAGAAATGGGACAGGTGCAGGGAGTCTGCTGGCTCCCGAGGCCACTTGCACATTTGTGTACTGGGCGGTAGGAAAAGGTACCGTGTGTATGTGTGCTGGGGAAGCCCAGGGCTGCTGGGACCTGCACTGTCTCTGTCCACTATAACGTGTGTATGTAGCCATCCCGGAGACCCCTATCAGGTTGGGCTCAGACCCCAGAGCCCCATCTTGGCCTCTGCTTTGGCCACTGTGACTCCAGCCAGGTGAGGATCTTGGTTACTGTCCCTGGGTGCATAATACAGAGCCAGCATTCACTGTCACTGCCAGGAGGCCCCAAGGGTCCAGCTCTGCTGCCAGCCTCGCTTTAGAGCCAAGGGGAGGCCCAAGGTCGACTGTTCATAGCAGTAGTGGGGCTGAGCCCCCAAACCCAGGGCCTCTCGGCCAGAGCTCTTTGCCCTGCACCAACCGCCAATCTCACAGGTTGAAGAAAGAAGCCAGATGAAAATCAAACAGGTGGTGTCAAATCCCCAGAAGACAACTCCCTCAGTTGAGGAGGGTTAACGGCTGTCCCTCACCACAAGGAACAGTACAGACCCCAGGGGCATTTTACCATCTTTGCTTGTGCATTTCCTGCACGAGGAACGTCCTCCTCATCTAACTCCCTCCCCTCTAATAGAGCACTCAGTAGGTCCCCGTGCCTTCTTCGACCCACAAAGCTGCGTGACCCTAACACCTTGTAACGCTCCCTATGAGGGTCCTAGACTGCGAGACAGAAGGAGCTTATTTAAGGCGACTGGGGCCCACGTGGGCAGTGGCTGCATTGCCCTGGGCTCACAGGCCAGGTTTGCAGGGAGCAGAGCTGAAGCTGCTAAGGGCCTGCACCAGGACAGGGGCAGCCCCAGCTAAAGGAGAGGATTCCGGAGACTGGGGAAGGGAAGGAAAGTGCTGTGTGTATGGGCAAAGGGGGGACGGGAGGGGAGCATCAAGCGTGGCACCAGTTCACCCCTATTCCTTGCCAGTCAGTGGACGGGGGCGGGGTGGTGCTTGGCTGTGTTCTGCTCAGCGGAAACAAGACTGGCTTCCAGAACAACTGGGATAGGAGGGCGGGGGGGACGGGAAGGGGGGCAGTGTAGTCAGGATGGGCCCCAAGGGGGCTCTGCTTTGAGGCTGGGCTGGTTCACATGGGCCGGGACTTGGGAGGGGGGAGGGCGGGCCTTGCCAGCTAAGGCTTCTCAGCACTGGAAGGCACTACGGAAAAGTCCCATACCCTGGAGGAAAAGGAAAAAGTAAACATTTAGTAAAGACCTTGTACAGAAGTCCTCCATTTGATCCTCCTCTCCCCATTTTACAGACAGGGAAGTGTTTGGAGGGCTTGGCTGGCTCCAGATCACGCTGCCGGGCAGTCCGGGGCCTCCAGAGCCTTGCGACTTCCACCACACCATGGGTTCCCTCCTTGGGGGAATGGCAGGTGTTAGAACCTCTGGCGGTTCTGTCCAGAGAAACCCCTCCCACAGCAGGACCTCCCCACACCCCCAAAAAGGAAATCCCACAGCCCAAGAAAAACGCCTCAGAAACCAATATGTGCTGGCCTGCGCATTGTGCACCCCGGCCCCTGCCCTCAGTGCTCTGGTGGCCCAGCACGTGGCTCTTCGGGGCAGCATGTCTGTGTGCCCATGTCCATCCGGGCTGAGCCTGTCCATGTGGTCTGAGCTTGTGCCTGGGAGGGCCCAGGTTAAGGGAACTTCTTAGCCCTGACCTCAATATTAGTTCCAGGGAAACAATCCCAAGTTCACAGGAGTCAGCAGGCAGGATCCTGACTGAGGTCAGCCTGAGGAGAGGCCCCAGGGGTCAGTAGCTGCTCTCACCCCTGGCTCCTAGTCCCACCCTGGAGGAAGCAGCTCCAGGACTTGGGGTAGGTGGGGGCAGTCCAGGGTGTAAAAAGGCCTGAAGGCCCTAGGCAGGGGTGGTCATGGCAGCAGTAACAGAAGGGCAACCTTTTCTTCCTACCTGGCTTGAGTTTCTCCCTCCATATCCTGCTAAGGAGACCCTGGCTCCCTAGCAAGCGGGAGACATGGTTTCCTAGTGGAAGAGGGACTGCCCCTGAGTGTCCCTGGTTGCTCTGGAATCCAGACACCACCTCACTGCCACCCTGACAGCATCCCCTCCCCAGAGACAGGGTTCCAGGAGAAAGAAGAGTAGGCGGGACGAGGGAGAGACCTCAGTTGATTCCAAAAGTAATGATTCAGAACCCTGTCCTCAGGAAAGTTCTCTTGTCCTCATTTGCAGTAGTCAACCCAAATTAGGTGGCTCACCCCAAGGTCACACCCCTGGTAGGGAGGAAGGGGCTGAGATGGCTGAAAAAGACCAGGATATAGACACTAGATGAGGTGACATGGCCCCATAGGCACTATCCTAGTGTAGCCTAAGAAACCCACTTGAGGAACAGGACTTCACAGATGCGGGCTGGGAGCCCCGAGTCCAAATGTGATTGTGTAGAAACTGCTTAGAGGTAGCCCAGCTCCCTTTTCCAGAACTTAAGGGCCAGTCAAATTTGATTTGACCTTGGGGCAAACCACTTCCTCCCCTGCAGGACTGAAAATCCCCAAGTGCTCAGCACAGGCCTGGCTCGAAGCCCACACTCACCAAGGCCACAGAGCGAGTCAGTGGCAGAACCCACACCCAGGGCTTAGGTTTCTTCCCACTGACCTTCTGCTGTCCCCGATTCAGCTGGTCAGGAACTGGCAGTCTCACATCCCAGTACATGGGATTATGCAGTGGTGCTGAAACATCTTTGAATTTCATAGGCAGGTTGCCAGACAGCAGTGACTTATTCGAATCACCACTCTGACTTTATAAAAAATAAATGAAGCCATAAATAAAACAAGATTGGCTATGTGGTAGAATTGTTGAGACTGAATACCTAGTAATTCATTATAATTTTCACTCTTTTTGTGTATGTTGGAAATTTTCCTTGAAATGGGACGGTTTTTTTTTTTTTAATTTTATTTATTTATTTGCCCCCAAAGCCCCAGTAGATAGTTGTACATCATAGTTGCACATCCTTCTAGTTGTTGTATGTGGGACGCGGCCTCAGCATGGCCGGAGAAGCAGCGCGTCGGTGCGAGCCCGGGATCCGAACCCCGGGCCGCCAGCAGCAGAGCATGCACACTTAACCGCTAAGCCACGGGGCCGGCCCTGGAAGGGTTTTAAAATGTCAAGAGTTCCTCCAAAATTAAGTGCTCAAGGACTACACAAATTACCATAGTGAAGCCTTAAAAAATACTTGCCCCTAATTCCTAAAAGTTTCAAATGAAATTTTGGGGGGGTTTAGACAGAGACAAGGCTAGGAGAGGCTTGAAGGTCATGCTTCGATTACCCAGGGCATCAGAAATCTCTCCCGGAAGCAAAGAAACGCAGTAGATGGATCTGACTTGTGGTTAAAAAGATGAAGGCAGAGGGGCCGGCCCCATGGCAGTGGTTAAGTGCGCGCGCTCCGCTACTGGCTGCCCGGGTTCGGATCCCAGGCGCACACCAGTGCACTGCTTGTCCCACCATGCTGAGGCGGCGTCCCACATACAGCAACTAGAAGGATGTGCAACTATGACATACAGCTATCTACTGGGGCTTTGGGGGGAAAAAGGGGAAAAAAGGAGGAGGATTGGCAATAGATGTTAGCTCAGGGCCGGTCTTCCTCAGCAAAAAGAGGAGGATTGGCATGGATGTTAGCTCAGGGCTGATCTTCCTCACAGACACACACAGACACACAGACACACACACACACACACACACACACACACACACACGAAGGCAGAGATCCTCTCAAACCTGAAGAAGTGGTTCCAAGAGTCAACGGGAAACCAGCGCTTGGGACTGCCTATCCACTCCCACCACCAAGAGCACAAAGAAAGGTTCACCAGAATCATTTCTTCTTTATAAACACAAGTACATAATGTTTATTTGAAATTCCAATTTATTACAAGTTTACCCTTTAATGGGGCCCTTCCTCCTTCAAGACCATTAAAAAACAACAAACATTTCAGGTGTCACTGAAGTGGGAACACGGGTTTCTCACTGTTAACAAGAACAGACTGGCTCTAGGGTAAAAAACAGAGGAAGGTGTTGGTGGCTGGGATTATGAAATTGTAACGTCAGTGCTAACTCCAAGCCTGTGGGAGAAGGGACGGTAAACCTAGCCAGCAGCACTGGAACAAATCCCCCAAGTCCCTGGGCGAGGAGGACAGGGACCACACCTTGAATTTTGATATTATGAGGGTTTATTCTCAAGTTCTATGAGTTGCAATCCCCTTGGTGGACTTCTTTTCCCTTAATTTAAATAGGTACAGAAGAGCTTAGGTGCTCAAATTTTCCAAATTCAAAGTTGATAGAAAAGAAAATAAACCCTGTTTTGCATTTTTATCAAAATCTGCCATAAAAGGGAAAGATGACTACAAAGTTTTGCCTAAATCTAACTACTAGCGCTAGAGTCACTGTGGGAAGGGGCTATCTGAGCTTCTCCTCCCTTCCCTCCTCCCATCCCCCACTGACACTGACCACTGAAAGATTCACGTTCTCAGGGAGTTCCAAGTTTGTGGCCAGAACAGGCATGGAAGGAGGCGGAAACAGCCACTAGGGGAGGCAGAGGGACACCCCTGTCCCCACCAGGTGCCACTGCTTGCCCTGATAAGCCTCCAACCCAACTTCTCTGAAGGAGAGAAGATGGGCTGAGGGAGGAGATGAGGCAAAGTAAAGCAAACACATTATCATATAAATTGTACTGTACATGTGCCAAAGCAAGATGACAGAAATATTTTACAAGATGTTCTTTATACAATATCACTGCTGAAACAAGCAACTTTTAATAACTAGAAAAGTCAATTTAAAAAAAATTAAACATTGAAATTCTTCCTGCTTTTCTTCTGCTCCCCTAAGAGCTTGTCTGGTATGTGGGTGGGCTGGGCTCCAACACCCCTCTGGCCAGATCCATCAAAGTAAAGGTTATATGCATGATTATAAGCAGGACTCCAGTCTCTAAGTGAAGTGCCTTAGGTTTGGTTTTGTTTTCGTTTTTTTTTTTTTTTGGAGAGGCTGAAGTGGGGGTGGGAGTGGGGAGAGAGCTATCACAAAGAAGGGGAGGGGTAGTCGGGAATGACTCCAGGACATGTCCCTTTACTCTGCCAAGATCAACTCAAAAGACCACGACTGTTTCATGATGCTGGTGAATACAGAATTCTGTATGGCACTCACCGATACCGTCACCTGAGAGGGACAGGGAGGAAGAGACAGAGGGCGGGCTTAAAGAAACAAGACTGTGTATAAATATAGATTAAAAAAATCAAGACTACCTTCCCAATTGGCCTGATTACCCTTGATCCTTCTACGTAATACAATAATCCCTCCCCTGGAGACCAGAGGGCTTGGCACTGCTTGGTGGCCAAAGTGGGAGAGACCTTAGGAAAGAAGAAAGGAAAAGGAATTGGGTTCACAAGAAAAGCGGTACCCTTAGACTCTTCTTGGAAACTCTCAGAAAGAGGGGTTTAGGCCATCTTCCACCCATAACATTTCTGGGCAGAGACCACCAACCCAGTTTTAGGCTCTCCAAAGAGCTCTGCTTGATTAACGCCCTATGGAGAGTTGTGGAAACACAGCACAAGCTTGGGATGACAGGCATTTCTGGACTCCCTGTGATCTCCCTTCCACGTTCTTCTCCATCTACCTACGTCTCTGGCCTCCCTCCCACCCTCCCTTGCTCTCTCCCTCGATTCCCCTAACTTCAGCTCCCTTACCAGGGCCCTGCCTCTCTATTTCTTCTGTCTTCGTCCCCTGGACTGTCCAATGGGTTCTGGCTCACTGTCCCCTTCATCTTCAGCAAGCCGATCGGGAAACTTCTTGCGTTTCCTACGGACATATGGGTGGCCAGGAAGGTGTTTATGCAACAGAGCCACCAGACACTGTTCTGTCTTCACCACGCAGTTTAGCACATGGCTGCCTTGGCAGTTGTAAAGCTCAGCATTGGTAAACACTTGCTTCAGGTCGGTAAGAAACTCCTGCACAGAGTGGTAGCTCCCACAGGAACATTTGTTCTGCATTGTCTGGAAGTCCATGGGGTGGGTGATCACGTCATAGTAGTCCTCAGCCTCATCTCTGGTCACGGGCTCCCTGTGGAGAAGAACCAAATGGAGATATTAGCACAGCAGTTGAACACAACTGACAGAAACCTTGTTATCAAACCACCAGCCACAGAATGCCCACTCCTGCTGGGATCAGCCAAGTAGCACGCATAGAGAAGGTGTGGTCATCTTGTACTAAGAGCTGTCTCTATCAGTTTGGGAAGCTAATTCACCTGCTACTGAGACATGTCCTGAAAGGAAGGATCAGGGTTGTTCCTAGGGGTTCAGCTTACCGCCCCCTTAGCCAGCTGCCTTATTTGAATGCTCTTAGAACCTACAAGGTTGGTCCTACTTCTCTGTGCTTGAGGACACAAAGCTCACCTGAAGGGCCAGCTGAAGCGGTACTTCACAATCTTGTGGAGGATCTCTTCACACTTCTGCAACTCCAAGCTTTGCCTCCGGGAGCTCCGCTTGGTCTGAAGCACCTGGCACCAAAGAATGAAGACATGTTATTATAGGTCCGAGAGAAAAAGAAGAGTAGACAAGGCAGAAAATGTACATATCTACCTAAGAAAAAAAAAGAAAAGAAAAAAAGAGTTGAACCATTTTCTTGGAGCAGAGACGGTCAAACTCATCTGACACTCCAGTCAGGGAGCGCTCTAGGCAAGGGGCAAGCATCTTCCCATCAGCCCCGTGCCTCCTCCCTGGTGGGTGGCGGTCAAAGAAGCAGGGGGCAGGCAGCAGCTGCTGTATTACAGCAGTCCTGCTAGAGGTCAGCTAAAGAGGGCCACTGTCAACAGGGCACTAGCCCTCTGAGAGCACATGGACCTGGGGTTATGGTAACACCGCAGATGAGTAGAAACAAGCAACTGCAGAAAACCAGATGGGTTACGGGGACCACCAGCAGCCAATTTTGTGGGGGTGGGATGTCTGAAGGAAGAAAAGCAAGAGGTAAAATGCCGTTCCTGGGCTCTCTGCCGCAGGCATGTGGGAACTAAGCGGCTACAGAGAAAGGGGTGGGGCCTCCCCTGCAGGTAGCCATGACAGCCCGTGACTCACAGCGGAAGGAGAGCCCCGGAATTGAAGGAGTCAGGGCTGGGCAAGCAGGAGGACCTCTCAAGGCCCTGTGAGCTTCCTAATGGCTTGCTTTATGCCCCCAACCCACCCCTAACCCCAATTTGATTGTGTCAAAACAAGCAAGTTTAAGAGCCTCTTTTGTTCTTTAAAACTCAAGTAAAATCTAAAGCAAAACCATTACAATTACATTGGCTGAGGAGCAGAGGGGAGGGTAACGTCCCTCCCATAACAACTGTCAGCAAAAGACCCAGGAGTAAGTGAGGCTCCAAATTGCTGACATTCCCACAACAGAGACCCAACCCCTCTGAGCCACTGGAGACACATGGATACTATTTTAAAATCCTTAATAAGTCGAGGGCTGCCTGTTAAGCAGAGGAGACAACGCTTGCAGGCTACAGCAGGAGAATGCCGGACATAGCTGTTCCTGGAGGACCTGCTGCCTCCATCTGCCTACAGGCCCACCCATCTGCCTAATCAGCGTCCAAAGTTAGGGAGGAAGGAGGAGAGGGGGAGGCTCCCACCTGTCGCCTGATGAATTCCTAATGCTGGAGTGGGGGATAAGAAACAGAAACACCAGAGAGAGGACAATAAAGAATTCTTACCAGCTCATCAACCTCAGCATCGTCCACAGGTGGTGCCTTCGGCTGAGACCTCCTGGTAGGATGCGGCTTCTTACCTGGTCGTCGGCCTGGCCTTGCCACAGGGGGGATGACACCCTGCTTGCCCCGGACAGTCTTTCGAGGTCTCACTGAAATAAAAAATACGGATTCAGAGCAGAACAACTGAGGATAAAGGGAGCATGTCTATGGAATGAGGAGATCATCTGGACGAGCAAAGCGAGTGCTTCCTTTGCACCTTATCAAGTGCTCTTGCTGTTTATCTCTTGTCCTACCTAACAGCACACTTTAAAAGCAGCAGAAGTAGATGAAGAATAGATACCTTTCCTCAACTGCAAAAACCTTTTAAAAAGAGTCTCTTCAGAAGGCCAGTTCCTTCAATATGTCTATCCTCTGCCCCCACCCTGTTCAGTTACTCCCAGAATGAGGCCCTTGAAGAGTCAGTTGTAAACTGACTCACTCAGGAGAGGCCATTTGCTAATAAGTCTGCCTGGAATTCCGGCAGCCCAAGCTCAGCCTCAGAGAGTGCGTATGAGATAGAACCGTAGAAGAGATCCTGTTTCATGATTCCCAGAGTTATCCTACACTCACCATCACAATCTTTTCAGAGAAAAATCAATACTTATGTGAAGTACTTATGTGAAGTATTCGTCATTGAATCCCACTTAGGATTTAGCCCCAAGTCCTGCTTTCTTACATTTCTGAAAACCCTAGACGGTCGGCCAGGCCACTGCCCAGGATCCCCAAAGAGAATAAAGAATACAAAGGCACTTGGGGCCGGCCCCGTGGCTTAGCAGTTAAGTGCGCGCGCTCCACTACTGGCGGCCCGGGTTCAGATCCTGGGCGCGCACCGACACACTGCTTCTCCGGCCATGCTGAGGCCGCGTCCCACATGCAGCAACTAGAAGGATGTGCAACTATGACATACAACTATCTACTGGGGCTTTGGGCGGGGGCGGGGAGGATTGGCAGTGGATGTTAGCTCAGAGCCGGTCTTCCTCAGCAAAAAGAGGAGGATTAGCATGGATGTTAGCTCAGGGCTGATATTCCTCACAAAAAAAAAAAAGAATACAAAGGCACCAAAGATTACCGTGTCTCAGGTTTAGAACAGGTGCTCAATGTCAGACAAACCAACATTCCTCAATATGTCCTCAGGGAGCAGTGCTCCATAAGGATTAGCTCAAGGCTTCTCCACTAAGCAAATTTTCCTTAGAAAGTAGGGAGGTGACATTTGGACAGAGATAGGGGTATACAGAGGCAATGATATAAAGAATCAATAAACAATGTTTTATACTCTACTTCTGAACCATGATGACCCTTTATTGGCTATTTTAGGGTCTCTAAGCTCAAGACCAGATTAGGAAGAGAAAGTAAGAATCTGATGCCACAGATGAAACTCAGGATGCTAGGGACAGCCACCAACCCAGGGCCTTGAGTTACACTAAAGAACTACATCTTTGGTGGCCTAAAAAAAAGGCAGAGTAGACAAAGGGCTCTGAAGTACCAAATAATTTCTAGATCCTTTTGGCAGACAAGGCCCTAGAAACCCAGAGGGAACAATTCCTCGGAAAGAGAGCAATAACTCAGAAGTATAAAGCAAGTACTTTGAAAACAAACAAAATCAGTACATTGCTATATTTAGAATCTATTCCTAGACAACCGTGCGTCCAAATCATGACTCTCTGGCCAGCAGACAATAGTCTCTGTCATGCAGGGTTAATGGACTACTTGTCTCCTTACCCTGGATACCTGGGAAATCATGCCCAGTGAACAAACAAAAGGAGCCTTATGGGAATAAGAGAAATTAAGGTCTCCCAAATTAAAACACTGCAGGATTGGGGAGATGGGAGCAGGTGTCCAGGCCCAAAGCCCTCAGGTTTTGGCAGCACCACTGCAGTAAGACACTGGTCGTGCCAAACATCCTCTCTCCTTATACCAAGTACGATTGTTCAGAATGCTATGATCTTGGGGACTATACCATCTCTCCAAAAGTTCCCCAAAATCTTTATCTGTGGTCTCTTTTACTAACCTACAAAGACGGGTATATTTTGCAAAGAGGGAGGCTCTTAAAAGGCTAGCCTGTAGGACTTTAGGTTTAACCACCAAAATTTGACAAGACTCTCAAAGACTCACGAAAAATGAACATGAGAGTAAGAGTAAACAAGGTAAGCATAAACGATGAGGCTCTTTTTTCCCTACTGGCATCTAGTAAGAAACAAAGCTGTGGGGCCAGCACAGTGGCATAGCAGTTGAGTTCACACGTTCTGCTTCAGTGGCCCAGGGTTCGCCGGTTCGGATCCTGGGCACGGACCCACTCACGGCTCATCAAGCCATGCTGAGGCAGCGTCCCATATAGAAGAGCTACAACTCTGCAACTATGATACACAACTATGTCCTGGGGCTTTGGGGAGGAAAAAGAAAAAGACGACGACTGGCAACAGATGTTAGTGCAGGGCCAATCTTCCTCAAAAAAAAAAAAAAAGAAAGAAAGAAAGAAAGAAACAGATCTGTACCTTCCTAGCAACTATCCTAAGCCATGGAAAAACCAGTCTTCTCCTTTCAAAGTAACAAACTGACAATCCTGCACACTACAGGGAAGAGAAAATCACTGTAACCAGAGGAGAAACTACCTACCATGAAAGGACCAGTGCACCAGAGGCCAAGAGAACTGTTAGACATGGCAGTGGGCCTAGACCTTCCTTACCCGTTGTCCCCACACAGCAAGGGGTTCAGAACCAGCAGACTTGTCATAAACATACTTGGAGCCTTGAATGCCACTAAATCTTGGACTAAGTGGATCTGCCATAGGTTGATGTTCTTGACACCAAGACACCCAACCTCCTACTAGGAAGGTGGTTAAATGGCACCTTGAAAACCCATTTAAAACCATGGCAGCGGAGTCACTCCCAGCCACAACATGTGAGAAAAGGAAGATGGCGTGATGGTAACACTGGGTATCTACTGCCAACCCAGTCTTCTCAGTTAGCTTGGAAGATGGTGAGGTCAACTATCAAGGCAATACTTACATCGCAAACCCGCCACCTCATAATCTTCTTCTTCCTCCTCTTCTTCTTCCTCTTCTTCCTCTTCATCGCTCTCATCATTTTCACTGTCCTCAGAGGCAGACTCTTCAGTATAATTCCTGTGGGGAGGAAAGAGCATGTAGGAAACACGGTTCTAGGCCAAAGTAGTCCTAGAAAGGATAAAGTCCCACAGGGGGCCCAGCAACTTTTTCCTCTTCACAGACTAAACAGATCTGATGATGAGGGGAGGGAACCTGAATCTAGGCCAGGACACAGGAAACAGAATGAAAACTTAAGCTTCTACAGCATGCCTCTTCCAGCAGGCCCCAAATGCTTTGGATAAGACACCAATGGCAACAGAAATCAAGACCAAAATGCAATCCCACCCCTCCTCACACAAAACAATACAAAACTCTATTCCTTTTATCTCACAGAAACAGCCAGATAATGTAACATTTCAGGTATTAAAAGCTGTCCCCAACTCTGGGGTGGACTGAAAGGATAAACAGCCCAGACAGGTGTTACTCCACCTTGATGGCCCCCTTCCAGGAGCTGAAACAGCTTGCAGATGACCATAACATCAAAGCAATGGTAATACCAGCTCAGAACAGCTGGTCCAAAGCCCCACCATTTCAGGGTGGCGTGCCTCATCTCTCTAAGTGTAGCTGGAATGAAGTGAGAAATAACCGAGTAATACTGTTAGGTGGGGTCAGGATCAAACAGCTCTGCCCTTTCAAAGAGAGAACAAGCCAGAGTGCCTATAAGCTGCCCTTTTACAACCTTAAATTTCAACGTGGAAAACAACGGTATTAACTTGGCAAAATGGAGGAGTCTCCTCTTTAAGAGGCCATGTGTTTGGCCTTATTCGGATTGGAGTGAAGAACAAAGCACCACCTCCACTTTCAGGGCACTAACAATCTCATGGGAAGACAGTCACGTATAAAACTAACCATAAAGGCAAGAGGCACCAAATACTGTTTTAGAGATCAAAAGCTCACTTGGAACACAGAGGAGGAACAAAAGATCTTAAGGATGTACAGATATTTCAAAAAAGCAGTGAAATTTTAGGTAGGCCATGGGCAGTCTACCCAGGTGGGAGTGCCAGGGAGAGGAAATATTCCCAGCTGGGAAGAAAGCACAAGAGGCAAGGATGCATAATGAACAGTCCGTAACAGGCACACAAATATGGGAACAAAGGCTCATAAAACATAGGCTAGTATTGCATACTAAGAGTCTCAAGAGTTAGGGTAGGGAGTCTGGACTTTATTCTAGAGGCAATGGAAAGATTAAAGTTTTTGAAGATAGTGACATGAGCAGATCTTTGCCTTATGTAAAGCATTCTGGTATCACCACAAAAGCTGGATGGACAAGAGGGGAAAAGACATGAGGTAAGGAGTTGAGAAACCACTGAAGGGATGTAGGAGGTAAGAGATGTAGGAAGGCCAAATGACAGCAGGGACCATGGAGAATGGACAGTACGAGACTGACTCATAAGACTTCTGGACACTGAATTGAAAACATCTGGCAAATCAATGAATATGGAAGATGAGGGAGAGGAAGATGTCCAAGGTGACACCAAAGTTCTAATCACGATAAGGAAAGAAAACAATAGGTATGGGTAATGAAGGTAATGAGTTTCAGGACTTTTAAGCATTGGGTGGTTGCAGAAGTAATCACAAATTAAGAAGTGGGCAAAATGGAAGCAAAAGGCAGAGGGAGATATATTGTTATTTGAGAAGAAGGTATGATCAAGGAGATACAGAACACGGCTGGTAGTAAAAACTAGAAGTGTCAACATTAAGCTAAAATTAAATCAGAGCCCTTTGAACTCCTATTATAATACCTTAAATGATCAGACTCTGTACCCAAAGATGAACTTACAACTCTTTAGAGTTTGAATAACTGAAACTTAATTATAACATTTATTCATTTGCTTTTAAAAGAAGAAATTCTCACCTGCCACGGGAGTTGCGCCTGGCAGTAGCAGGCTGGCAAGCTGGGCATTGCCACTCACCATCTGGTACTTCATAGAGGGCCGGCCTCAGACAAAACAGGTGGAAGGCTTTATTACACTCATCACACAAGATCAGTTTGTCATCCTCACCTGCAAGGAGATCAACTTGTATAGCAGTGTCGGGAGCATGGCAACAGTCAAGGAGTTGTAAGAAAGAGCTGCTCACCCTCAATTAACACCATGGAAGAACAAACATTCTAGTATACCCCTCTTTTGTTAAATGCAGTCATTTTCTGAAAAGAAATACAGCATAAACTAGACTATAAGTAATTTAGGGCTCAGGTCTTCTGACTTACAACCCCAAATCTACCCAAGGCTAGGAGAGGACAGTTAACATTTAACTAAGAGGTAGCAAAAACCAGGTGACAGCAGGAAATTTTGCTGCTCCTCTCCCACTAAGAAACGAATCCCCCATGATGTATTACATTTTCTGCTCTTCTGCCTCCCCGACCCCGCAAACTATTCACAACTCATATCTGATATGGTTCTCTTAAACCGTTCACTTTCCCTACATTTGAAAATACACCGAACCAACTTGACATAGTCATATTTCTCCTCTCCAACCTTCATTCTAAATCAGTTTTTAGAGCAACTGAATGATTTTACATATGTCTTTTCATCCTTGGGAATTAAGTCCTAACAATTCACAAAATAACTTCAGCCACTGAGAAGTCAATCACTGGCAGGATTTTCCCCATGAAGTTTCTTTTACACATATGGGCTCTGAAAGCTCTCAACATTCAACAGTCCCAAATGTCTTGCTCTGTAGGACTCAGTGCTGGAAGGCCCAACCTGAGTGTTCTTCACAATGTACAAATACTGCCCTCTGCTGGTGGCACCAGTCTTACTTCATGGATGACTAAAACTCAGAGATGATAAAAAGAGATTCAAAATTTTAGGTTAACTAATTTTGCTCCCTGTGGAAAATTTAAAGAGTAGAGAGTACAACTGCTCTTATTTCATACTCAAAACTGAGGAACAAAGGGCCTGCTTTGATTTGTTCGAATGTGATTTAAAAGACCAGCATTTTATAGACTTTCAGGAAAAGATAAAATTTGTCCCACCACATTAAAAAATGGTGTACATAGAATTCTTTAGGGGAGAAAAGATCTTAGGAATGAAAGTCCTAGTCACTAATACACTCAGATAAGCAACTTTGATCTAAATATACCTTTCTTTCGACAAACTTTGCATCTAGCATTTTCTGCTGACATATCCCACTTGATACAGGCATCAAGCATCCCAAGTAGAACATGCATTCTGGAAAAGGTCTGAGCTTCACGGATTGCTGTCTTCCATTTTTCCAGAGCAGATGCAACCTAAACAGAAACCAAACCAGGCCAGTATTACTACAATGACCTCAAAGACATGAAATGTGGATTTTTCATGTAATACCGGCAGTATACACAGAGAGGACTAGGAATAGGTAAAGATACAACAGAATTCTGAGTACATTTACCTCCTAGAGCTCCTCCAGTCTAATCCATTTATCTTACAGAAGAAATCAAGGCTCTGAAGGGTGAAAAAAACTTGCCAGAGGTCACACAAAGAATTAAAGGGGAGAAATGACTAAAGATAGGTCTTTTCTAGTGAAATCCACTTAAAGATTCCATATCATTTAAATGTAGGAACACTTGTATTGTGCAAATGCTAGGATGCAACAATGTCATGCAGCTAATAAAACTTCAGTTAATGAGATCATCAGTTTCTACACTAATATGTGCCACAATCCCAGATTACAGGGCCTAGAAATAGTAAATATCATCTATACAGCATTCTACAATCCTTAAAAGTGTTAAGTACTGATAGGAAATATTCCTCTTGACTTTATCACCAACTTCTAACTTAAGTGAAAATGTCAGAGTCCCAAGAGTTAGCCCGACTTCATTCTGGGCAGTTACTCTCAGCATAACCTGCACTGCCTCCTCTCATCATCAGAAAATGCAAATTAATTTAGAATTAGCCAAGCAAAACATAGATAGGATGGAGGAAAATATAATCAGACATTTCAATGGTAAACACAACCCTCTCTCCTATAAAATATACATTCTAAGGAGGAACAGAAATGTCATTTTAAGAAGACACATTTATTTGTATTACTGTTTTATTAGCCAAAAGGTGATTTTTTGGATGTTTTCAGACTGCTTCTTGCCTAAATAATTAGGTGAGCATCCACGTAAACAAATGCCAAAATAGAGGCTATCATTCTCAGACAGTCAGAAAATACGACAGACACGGACAAGGTAAAGCTTAGGCAACACACCAGAAGCTGAAAAGCAAGGTTATCTTATTATCATCTACCTTGTGGAGGCCATATTGCTTAACTCAGTCATGGCGGAACTAACGTTAAGGTAGCAATGACTGCTACTTTTACAACCATTACAACTTGGCTAGCTCTAGCTAACTGACAACACCACTGATGGATGCTCTGGCCTAGGCAAAGAGGTCTATTTCAAGTAATATAGTCTTCCTCCTATAGGAAGTTAGCCTGAAAGGCCACAGGCTTTAAAAGTAGAGCTGCTAAGGGCCCGAGATCATTGAGCTGCTCCTGAAGCTGCGGTGTGAGGGCTGAGGGAGGCAAACAAAGGCTGTCTTCTCTCTTTCTTATAGATAGAGAACCACAGAGAGCCTTGTATGTGTAAATTTATGAATAACAAGGCTAAGCAATAATAAACACACCAAAAAATCTATTTAAACGGCTGCTAAACGTTCTAGTGGAAACTGACTCACTCCTCACTCCAACCTCCACTGTAGGTATTTCAACAACTGCCTTCGAAATTTCCTTCCTTCCTCTTCAGAGCTCCTCTGTAAAACGTGAGGTCCACAATCACAGCTGCCTTGCTGGTCTTCTCCCCTGATGTAATGGAGAGCTGACATACAGATACCACACATTCTCTTATTGTACTAACAACCCAAATCTCTTCAATGGAATATAAATTTTAAAATTTTAGGTTCCATTCTTTAAAAAAGTGCTACTGAGAACAGGCAGCGCATGGCCAAAATGGGCTTTGCTGTCCTCTAGTGGCCAGTCAGATGCACACAAGTATTCAAGAAAAAGTCATAGCATAAAGTACTGCTTTTTACTTATTTCCTACCTATAAATTATAAAATGTGAGCACTCAACAGCTCATCTGGCCTCATTAAAATAAAACAACTGAAAGATATCTTGGAAATAAGGTTATTTAACCTCATTTTTAAAAAAGATTTATTGATATAATTTATACATTAACAAGTTTACCTTGTAAAGTGTACAGTCAACAGTTTTTCATATATTTGCAGAGTTGTGCAACTATCAACATAATCTTAATTTTATAACATTTTCATCACCCCAAAAAGAAACACTGTACCCATTTGCAGTCATTCCCCATTCCCTACCTTAACCCACTCACTTCCACTGCCCTAGGCAATCATTAATCTACTCTTGGTCTATAGATTTGCCTATTCTGGACATTTCATATAACATGTGGCCTTTTGTAACTGGCTTATTTTTTTTTTTTTTTAAAGATTTTATTTTTTTTTTTTTTTTCCCCCCAAAGCCCCAGTAGATAGTTGTGTGTCATAGCTGCACATCCTTCTAGTTGCTGTATGTGGGACGCGGCCTCAGCATGGCCGGAGAAGCAGTGCGTCGGTGCGAGCCCGGGATCCGAACCCGGGTCGCCAGCAGTGGAGCGCGCTCACTTAACCACCAAGCCACGGGGCCGGCCCTGGCTTCTTTTATTGAGCATAATATTTTCTAGGTTCATCCACCTTGTAGCATGTAACAGTACTTCACTCTATTTTAATTGCTGAACAATATCCATTGTATGGATATATCACATATTGTTTATCCATTCATCAGCTGAGGGACATATGGATTGTTTCCATTTTTGGCCATTTTGAATAATACTGCTATGAACATTTGCGTAACATTTGTTTATTACTTTTTGTGGAAAGAAAGTTTGCCCAAGGTCTCAGAGTAATTTAGGGCCAGGTCTCCTTCAGTTCTCCAGATCCCCAATCCAATGCTCTTGGCATTATACATACTGGATAACCATTAGCATCCTGTTGTTATCCATTGAGTTATCCATCTAGAACAACCTAGACTCCAACCAGCCTCTAATTTTCAGGGCAAAAATATTTAGCACTCAAGATATGAAAAAACATCCTGTTTTCGTCCCATTGTACAAAATTCCAAACAGTTCAGCACGTTAAAAAAAACAAAAACACAAAACCCCCACCATATTCAAGACAGTGTTTTAAAAAAAAGATAATTAGCGGCAAGATAAAGTTTTGATATTCAACACTGGTGGCATCCAGTAAATGCTCTCTGTCTTGCAATGCTGAGGTTAGGCACACTACTCTGATGTAAAGTTCAATTTCTCTAGCATGTTTAAATAAAGTTGTTCCCTAGTTAGAAGTGAAAATAATAGAATCAGCGGGGAGCCAACTTATATGCAAGTAACCATTAACTCCTTTACTTTTACTAACAGTAAAAAGGTAGTATCATATCTTGGCCAGGATATAATGAGGCATCAGACCACATTCTTCCACAAAAGAACATTTAAAACAGAAAAACAGATAATCAGGTTCTCAAAACAAATGCATCCAAAGTAAAGAGAGAGCCTAACAGAACCCAGGATTTTGCCAAATCATACTATACCTTTCTCATTTAATGCAAGAAAATGAAATAAGCATTAAATATTTTAAATCATTGACTATTACAAGATGGGATTTGAGAGATAATTTACTTTTAAAAATAAGGAAACCGAAGCCCAGATTAGAGACTGATACTAGCTCATGCAACAACTTAGCACCTGCTGAAAAACCCCTGGCCTGTGCTAAGTGGAAACCTTCAAAGCAAAGGACAGCAGAAAATTTCAGAGCCACGGCAAAGTTGACCTCTGGTGGGGAACTGCGGGGCATAATGCCATTTTAATGGAGAACACTGTTGAACTACTTAGTAGGCAACCAAATTGATTTTCCAAGAAACTCCTCCATGCTTTCGATTTGTGTACTATGTGTCTGGGCCCCAAGGTTAAACCTTCAAAGTGCTCATATTTTCCTCCCCAATTAAGCTAAGAATCAAGTCTCACATGACAAGCTAAAAAGAGGTTACTTCACTATGGGGTTGAGTTTTACTAAAAAAGAACTTAATGAGAATTCTACAGCTACTAGTTCCTAATAAGAAAATGTTACCAGTAAAGAAATGGCAAGGAAAGATCACATCAAGAGACTCTTCTGTATAGAACTGAGTTAAAAACAAAACCCATGTAGTACTCAGCAAAGCTAAAACTTACGCCTAACAAGAAGACATTTAGACCTCATCTAGAAGGTTACCTGGATGTTAGATGGCTATTTAAAAGGAACACAGAGGAAGGCGAGAACTAAATCCCAGTAAGATAACGACATATGTGCGAAGCCTCTGAGTTTACATCATGAATTAATAGTTAAATCTTTATCTAACTGAATCTTAGTTCTCTGATCTGCTTACCTCTTACCCAAAATGATCTTGCTTGTACCACGTATCACCCTTGACCTCAGGAACAAACTTGGGGGGAACATGACAACTGTGTACAAATATCCGAGGAGCTGTAGAGTATAAACTCACTCTGTAAACTCAGAGGGCAAAACAAGGATCAGCCATCAATGACTAGAAGGCCAATTTCAGCTCAAATTAACAAAGCCTATGCCCCTTTGCCATGACCTGATTAATTTCTACTTACTCTACAAAACCCAGCAGATACATTCTCCCCTCTGGGTAGTTTTCTCTATTTGCGCTAGGTATCCCTCACAGGTGAGCGAGTACTGCTCTCTCTCATCAGTACTTACCACACTATTATAACCATCTCTCACCCTCAAACTAGTTTTTTGAGGGCAAACACTTCTGGCTTCTACTCCTCACTATAACCTCCAGACTAACCACACTGACTGACAGAGGCAAGCCTTTACCAGATGCTTGTAAAAGGAAGAAAAGAGGAAGGGGGAGAGAGAAATAAAAAATACGGGAAAGTATTCCACTGGCTAATGGCTGGGACTTCTCCCTTAATGTAGTGTTTTTAAATTCTTTTCTTCACAAGTAATCTTAAGCAGAAATCTAATATACAAAACAGAAAAAAACAGAGCTGCTAATTATTCCAATAAAGAAAAGCTGGAAACAACATAATGTTCGTTAGTAAGGAATTGAGATGTTAAAAAAACAAACATAGGGGCCGGCCCAGTGGCAAACCAATTTGCACACTCCACTTCGGCGTCCTGGAGTTTGCTGGTTCCGATCCTGGTCGCGGAGTGACACATCGCTCATCAAGCCACGCTGAAGCTGCGTCCCACATAGAGCAACCAGAGCATCTAGAGGGATGTACAACTATGACATACAACTATCTACCGGGCTTTGGGGAGAAAAAAGGAAAAAAAGGAGGAAGATTGGCAACAGCTGTTAGCTCAGGGCCACTCACTCAAAAAAAACCAAACATACATAGTATCAGGTAGATCTATATGGACAGACAGGGAGAGAGGATAAATGCCCAGGATATGTTGATGAGTGAAAAATTGCACAACATTACACAGAGGATTCCATTCTGTAAAACTCCAACAAAATTATCTTCGTATGTACACAGAAAACTATTAAAGAGTGATATCCCTGGGGAGTGAAACTAGGATGGGAGTTGTTTTATATTTTACCTACGTCTCACATTTGATTTACTTACAATGAGCATGCTACTTTTAAAATTTTAAAAACAGACAACTGGATATCTATATGAAAAAAATGAAGCTGGACTCTTACTTTATCTACAAAAATTAACTCAAAATGGATTAAAGATCTAAATGTAAAAGCTAAAACAAAAAACTTGTAGAAGAAAACACAGGGGAAAAGCTTCATGATACTGGATTTGTCAATAATTTCTTGGAGATGACACCAAAAGCAGAGGCAACAAAATAAAAAACAGGTAAGCTGAACGTCATCAAAATTTAAAACTTTTATGCATCAAAAGACACTATTAATAGAATGAAAAGGCAGCTCACAGAATGGGGGAACATATTTGCAAATCATATATCTGATAAAGGATTAGTAACCAGAACATATAAAGAACCCATTCAACTCAACTAAAAAAACAACCCAATTAAAAAATAGCCAAAGGACTCGAATAGACATTTCCCCAAAAAAGATAGACAAATGGACCATTAAGAACACAAAAGGATGCTCAACATCACTAATCATTAGGGAAATGCAAATCAAAACCAAGATACCAATTCACACCCACTAGGATGAGTACTTTCTTTTTTTTTTTTTTTAAAGATTTTATTTATTCAGTTTTTCCCCCCAAAGCCCCAGTAGATAGTTGTACGTCATAGGTTCACATCCTTCCAGTTGCTGTACGTGGGACTCGGCCTCGCGTTGGACGGAGAAGGGGTGCCTCGGGGCGCTCCCGGGATCCGAACCCGGGCCGCCAGCATCAGAGCGCGCGCACCTAACCGCCAAGCCACGGGGCCGGCCCTGGGATGAGTACTTTCAAAGAAACAGAACGTAAGTGTTGGCAAGGATGTGGAGAAACTGGAACCCTTGTGCATTGCTGGTGGGAATGTCAAATGGTGTAGCTACTGTGGAAAACACTATGTCAGTTCCTCAAAAAATTAAATAGAATTACTCTATGACCTAGCAATTCTACTTCTGGGTACACAGCCAAAAGAACTGAAAGTAGGGAGTGGAGCTGATATTTGTACACCCATGTTCACAGCAACATTAAATGTGAGCGCAATCTGACTGCAGCATCTGTCACCCCAGTGATCACCACAGTTGACTCGGCTGATCTAGCTGCCTAGGTAGGTATCCCCTTCCTCCCTCACCACTCTATGTGCATCCCTCCCAAAGCTGCCCACTTGGTCAAAGAGGGTAACCTTCCCCTATAGAGGAGGACTATTCTTCAGTCAAGGGTATACAAGTAGCTGTGCTCCCTTGCTAGGACCTCCGAACAAGCTCTCAAGGTCCACAGCAGCATTATGCACAACAGTCAAAAGGTAGAACTGACCCAAGTGTCCATCAACAGACGAATAAACAAAACATGGTCTATACACATAAAGGAGTATTACTCAGTCTTAAAAAGGAAGGAAATTCTGGCACATGCTACAACACAGATGAACTCTGAGGATGTTATGCTGTTAAATAAGCGAGTCACAAAGGACAAGTATTGTATGATTCCACTTATATGAGGTACCTAGAGTAGTCAAATTCACAGACACAAAAGAAAATGCTGGTTGCTGGGGGTTGAGGTGAGAGCAAAATGGGTAGTTTAGTATTTAATGGGCATAGCTCCAGTTTGGGAAGATGAAAATGTTCTGGGGATGGCTGATGGTGATAGCTGAAGAACAGTGTGAATGTACTTATCGACACAGAACTGTACACATAAACATGATTAAAACGTTAAATTGTTCTTTTCATATATCTTACCACTACCTCTTAAAAAAAGGAATCAGCTGTGGTAAAGGGAGAGTGGGCACTCTGACCCATTATCCAGCCCTAGAGGCAGGGCTGTGCTCCGCAGACCAGTCTGAAAACCACCATGTTTGGTCAAAGTGATAATAATGGAACATTGGCTCAGGGAACAGTGCTTATAGCATAAGCATAGGGTTAGACTATTTTAAAAATAGATCACACTCTTCTACACAGTCATAAAACTACATCTTCATTAACTAAATACCTTTGCTTCCTCTGCCATTTTTTTCTCTTCATCCACCTCTTCAGTCTTTGCTGAATCTTCGCTTTGGAGTTTTCTTCTCTTTTGCTTGGGAGCCATGAAGCCTTGAAGAAATTTCTTTATGACACTGCCTTGAAGGGCAATCACACATTCACCAAAATCCTTCAGTTTCTCTAGTGAGATCACCTAGAAAACATGATTTAAAAATCCGATTGAGTGAAAGGCCAAGAGAAAGATGAAAGGAGCCTATTCTCAACTAAATTCAAATCAACCTAGACCCAAATGGATCACATAACATTAATTTAAACTGGGTTCCTCAGTTCAATGCATGGCTTATGCATTTAAAAGTAGCTGACTACTTCCATTTCCCCGGTGAAGGATCCACTGGATGTTGAAACTTGCTCTACTTAAAGAAGTTACGAACTCACTGACTCACTCAATAATTGAGTACCTACTATGTGCAAATAAGACTCTCAAGGCAAAGGAAAACTGAGAAGGAAAATAAAAATTTACTGAGCTACTGGCTTACAAACTATATGCCAGGTAATATGCTTTACACACTTGATCTCATCTAAGCCTCATATTTATTTTATGGATGAGGAAACAGATGCTAAATCACTTTAATCCAAATCATGCTCTCAAATAGTGAACACTACCTTCTCAGTCACATAAAACATACCAATTAAAAGATATCATTTTATAACTACAAAGAGAAACAAAGACAACTGATGATAACCCAGTGTTAGCATGGCGTGAGCCTGGGTTTGGCACAAAGTAGGCAACTGATAAATATCTGCTAAATAAACAAAAAAGTAAATGTAATATTTGAAATTGGCACAATTCCTTGGGTTGAATAATTCTTCAAAAAATCATTATGAACAATAAAGATGTTTAAATCCTTTTTCCCAGGAAATATACCAAGAATTCACAACCAGACTAATTAAAAAGAAAAAAGTTGCATACATAATTTGCTAATTCTAACAGTCAAGAAATAGAAATACAAAAGCCTGACAGTAAAAGATTTATCGTATCAACCCCATGAGTTATGATGTAACCCAAAGTGATATAAAGACTAAAAGGAAAGCATTTCTAAATTAGCAAAAATGGAGGGAAAAGATGCAACTGCTCATAAAAATCACAAAACTACTAAGACATGCTATAATGCATATGAATAATTTGAAAAGACCCACAAATATTAATATGTTTGGAGTTACACGGACTTTGTTATTTAAAATCAGTAAAAAACATTTTACAATAACTGACAGAAAGTATTCTACAATCTTCCCTCTAGCTTTGATATCTAAACCTACCTAATGTGAGAAATGGGGTCTCTTGAATAGTTTCACCTTTATCATTTAAGGGTCCTTCTGAGCAGTAAATGACAAGACTATTAATGGGCCTTGAAATGTACCCACTGAACAGCCTGAGTGTTGCCCAATGTAAGCATAACTACTGAGCTGCTCAGGTGTAAATAAAGAATGGACAAAAGCAGGATACACAAACGTTTCATACCTTAAAGCACAGGCATCATATGAGAATAGGTATGTTAAATAATGTTATGTGACTACGACTCCAGCACCGATTTTCACTCATCTTAATAGAAAAGCTCTTTTTGAACAAAGGTTCTGAGCCAACTATTAGATTTTTCTGGATACCAGAAGATGATAAAGGAAAAATATCATATGTACATAGAGAATTTTTGGTTCCATATGTGTCTTTCAAGACACACCCAAACATGATTTCCACGGTCATCTGGGGAAGTCAAGAACAGTATCAGGGAACAATTCCATGAGTTTTCATGAGTAATAGATTTGTGTTTTCTTATGTTCTTACCCGAGCTTCAAATTCCGAAGTTTCTTCCACATAACCAAGTCCCCCCTTTTGTAACCTTGTTGCAACTTCAATGAGATCACTACGAAGGAAGTTTAAAAGCTCCTGGTTGCCATCACAGCATTTTAGACCCAAATTTGGCTTCCGGGCCAGATGAATGGAATGAATAATGTCCTGGTACCTAAAGAAGTTGGGGCAAAGGGGACGCAACATAAAGGAACTTTTGAGGATGGTCTATAAATTTCAATTACTTGAATGCCATGTTTTATTTCTAGAAGACTGACTTACATCTTTTTCATCTCCCTCTGGTGTTTTTTAATAGACTGTTTCTTGCATAAATTTTCAAATTTCTCTTATGCTTGATTCATTTTAAAAACACACTTATTTTACTCTGTATTTGATAATTCCAGTATCTGAAGCGTGTTGCGTTTCCTAGCTCTCATTCACGTTACCTGGTTTGCATATTTTTTTGACTTTTTTACCATGAATTTCTTGGAATTTTATCTGTGGAAATTCTTTGAGGCCTGGTTTGAAGCTGTGCTCCTCCAGAGAGAATGTGCATATGCTTATGTCAGGTGCCAGAAACTGCTACCAACCAGAAACAACTTTAAATCATCTGCCTGGAATTCTTCACAACACAGAAGAAACAAGAATTTGAGCTGAAAACCTACACAAGGACTTTCAAGTTCACTCTCGCACTAAACATTATTAACCCTTTGAGGTCTCAGCAATAAAGACTCCAGTAAGACTCTCTACCCTGAGTGGGCCATAAGCTACACTGTTGGCTTCTTACACCAAGATGAAAACTAAAGCTCAAGGTCAACTAAGTTGAGTACCAACTTCCCTTTTCGTTCTTAATGCGAGTTTTTAATATTATTTTCCTCTGAATACAACTTCACTGTGTCTCATTGGTTTTCTTATTTATAAAGGATTCTCCTTTTATTGCTTTCTAGATACCACATCATTTTCCTTTCATTTTCTTCTTTAAGCATCATCTAGGAATATACTACCAGTTAAGATCTTTTTGGTCATCTCTAAAGAGTTTATTTCTAATTTTATTGCAATCTGATCAGAGAATGTATCCTGAAACTCTCTACTTTTTAAATCTGTTGCAATTGCTTTTGTGGCTCAGCCTATGATTAATTTTTATAAATGTTCAATGGATATAACAAAAAACTCTGTTTCCAACTGACCTAGTATCTTTTTGCACTGTAAAAAAAATTTTTTATTGAGATACAATTGAGTGCACATCCTTTTATTTATATCCTTCATCACTTTACATATTTTCTTGTAAAGGGTATATGTATTTTTGTTTTATAAATCTGAACCTCAAATGGTTTGTGACACATTATCCTATCCCCTTGGATCCCCAGAGGAAACAACTCAAATAACCAACAAGAAAATAGATAAATAAATTGGGGTACATTCACGAATACCACACAGATTCACAGAATAGTGTATACAAAGAAAAATGATGGAGTTCAGTTATAAAAAACATGGATGTCTCTTTAGTAAAACAATGCTGAGTAAACAGCAGTTTAAATCTCAAAGACTACATACTGCTTGATAGCCTTTAAAAAGTTAAAAAACCAAGCAAAACAAGGTTTTTTAAAAAAATGTTCAACAAAACCAAAGAAAAAACTCTAAGATTTCCTTTTAATCTTGACAATCTCTAACCTTTTAATGGAAGGATTTGATCTGTTCACATTTAGTGAATGGAACAAGTCTTTTCAATTCAACGAATGTGTCTATCAAATATTTTAACCAAACAGAAGGAACATCACAGAATTATATTCCTTTGTGGTTCTGTGTATTGACACTTTCCCTTGTCTTTCTTAATTTGCCTAGTCACATCTGTATTAAGACAGCATGATACTAAATACAATTTTAACAAATTTAAGCATTGAGCAGTGGATGAAAACCAATATGATGTACCCATTATCACTCACAAAAGTTTGGCAAAGTCGCAGAGTAGGTACTGAATGGTATTTTCCTTCTCTCTTCAATCAAACCTAAATTCAACCATGAAAGCATGCAGTCAGATATTCAAGGTGGCCTTAAGCCAAAACTTTGTCCTGGCTTTGATAGAAACAATGAAGGACACTTAGCAAATCTAAATGGAGCTGATGCTAATTCTGCAGGGTTTTGTTTTGGGGTTTGTTTTTTTTTTTGAGATATAATTCACATAACATTAAACTCATCATTTTAAAGCATATACTTTCAGTGGTTTTTATGTTGTGGAACCATCAAAACTACCCAATTCCAAAACATTTTCATCACCTCATAACGAAATCCCATACGCGTTAGCAGTCACTCCCAATTCTCCCCTTCCTCCAGCCCCTGACAACTAATCTACTTTCTGTCTCTATAGATTTGCCTCTTCTGGATGTCTCATACAAATGGAATCACAATACGTGGCTTTGTCTGGCTTCTTCGACTCACCATAATGTTTTCTAGGTTCATCCACATTGTAGCATATATCAGTACTGCATCCCTTTTAATGGCTGAATTTATGGATATACCACATTTTGTTTATCTATCCATCAGTTGATGGACATTTAGGTTGTTTTCATTTTATGACCATTTTGAATACTGACAGGATACTCTTGAATACCAACTGGTGTGGAACTGCATTTGCAAGGCTGCCTGACTACAATGAGGCTTTCGGCTCGATGCATGGCATGCATTACTTAATGAATAATCCTGCTACCCTGTATATACATGATTTAAAAGCATATTTTTCCAAATAAGCATGAGGTGTCCAGAAAATACAAAGCAACAAGAACATAAAAGAGTTACACACACTTTTATAAAAATTTACTTTAATAGCTTTTATGGATAAACAAAAAAACTCTATGATATTTATAATATCTAATGCTAAAGAAGAGATGTAAGAAGCAAGACGAAAATCCTCACCTCTTCTCTAGTCTCTCTTTAAGCTGACTTTCTCTTACTCCCTGAGGGTGAAGGCAATTTAGCAACTCATCCAGTTCCTTCTGACTATCACATAAAAACCTGTAGGGGCAAAACACATCTGATTAAAAATCTGAAAAAAAATCAAAGACTAAGAAAGGGATCTAGGGTTGATGGTGGGAGTTGGGAGAACAGAATTCCAAACTTGTTCATAAGTAGAACAAATAATTTACTGTTTCCATGAGGTCTAATGTTAACTTTAACCTAGGACATTGGAGCCAATGTTTCTTTTTTTTTTTTTTGTGAGATCAGCCCTGTGCTAACATCTGCCAACCCTCCTCTTTTTTTGCTGAGGAAGACTAGCCCTGGGCTAACATCTGTACCCATCTTCCTCTACTTTATATGGGACGCCGCCACAGCACGGCCTGCCAAGCAGTGCATCAGTGCGCACCCGGGATCCGAACCGGCGAACCCCGGGCTGCTGCAGCAAAGCGTGCACACTTAACCTCTTGCGCCACCGGGCCGGCCCCTGGAGCCAATGTTTCTTACTAAAATATAGTTTAAGACAAATTTTATAAAGTTAATAGGCACGCTTGTCCATACACCTTCAAAGAGTAAACTTACATACAAAAAAAAGACAAAAGGTCATTAAACCAAGGGTGATCCCAGCTAGGGCAGTGAACGCAATCTCAAAGTAGAAGGGACCTTCTCCAAACCTAGCTCCCTGCCTAAAAGCAGAATTGAAACCAAGGAAGATTAATGGCTATAGATACAATTTTTTATTCTTAAATTAATAAAGATGAAAATCCTAAACACTTCTATTCCCAAACAGACTGAAAAGCATTTCCAATGCTATGTAAGATCTATCATATAACATACAAAGTAACAATGACAGGGGAGGATAAAGTTTCAAACCTTCAAAAGTTTCAAACCTTCAAATATATTCTTATCAAAAAATCAAGTCTAGGGGCCAGCCCTGTGGCTTAGCGGTTAAGTGCAGGCACTCCGCTACTGGTGGCCCGGGTTCGGATCCCAGGCATGCAGCAACGCACCGCTTGTCAGACCCTGCTGTGGTGGCATCCCATATAAAGTGGAGGAAGATGGGCACAGATGTGAGCCCAGGGCCAGTCTTCCTCAGCAAAAAGAGGAGGATTGGCATGATGTTAGCTCAAGGCTGATCTTCCTCACAAAAAAAAAGAAAAAAATCAAGTCTGGGGGCCAGTGGCGTAGTGGTTACGTTCACACGCTCCACTTTGGCAGCCCGGGATTCGCAGGTTTGGATCCCAGGCGTGGACCTACACGCTGCTTTATCAAGCCATGCTGTGGCAGGCGTCCCACATATAAAGTAGAGGAAGATGGGCACAGATGTTAGCACAGGGCCAGTCTTCCTCAGCAAAAAGAGGAGAATTGGGAACAGATGTTAGCTATGGCTAATCTTCCTCACCAGAAAGAAAAAAAAATCAAGTCTGCTCAGCAACAAGTTTACATATCCAAGAAATCAAAGTCACACAAAATGATCTTAATAGATAATCACTAACTCACTGGTGTTATTACATTAAATATTTTCCTAACCTTGCAAATGAAACAGAAAGAGCAGCCAGATGAATGCTCACATTACCATAGGTTCTGTCCTTGTTTGGGTATGGTGGTCTCTACAGCAATTTCTGTTGCTGGTCCATGTTGTGTGTTCATGCTTGCATTTTTGCCTAGGTTTGGTTTTTTACCTAAGAAAAATTTATACATTAGGCTGAATACAGTAAATATCCAATTCCTCGTTTTAAATCTAAGCAGTACACAGTGCCAAATCCAACAAACAGCACAGATGCTGCCTACTAAATATATCTACATGTACAACAGATGATAATTTCTCTTAAATAAATTACACACAGCACATTATCTGAGATATTTGCTCTCTATACAGTTGAATAATTGTACAGTTCAAAGTTCAAGAGTACTGCAAGTTACTATAGAGAGGGAGGACTAAATAACTCTTTATATCAAAGCAAATAAATAATTTATTCCTTGTACATGATGTTTAGCCAAAGGCATCTGTGGTGAAGTAGAGACAAGTGAAATACATAACGACTACAAACTTACCCCTGGAGGCTTCTAATGTCAAATATGATTAACCTTTTTGTAAACCAGCTCCTATATACTAATGTATGATATTAAAATAGATAGATCTTAAGCCAGTATTTGAGGCCCTACCTAATACAACTGGTTCTCTCCCCTGCTCCCATTCTCTTCCCTTTAACCTACCTACAGCATCTTCCCTGTAATAATAACACACAATCTTGTTTAGTCTCTTCAGTCAGGTAATTTTGAAGAGACCTTGCCATGCTGGAACTAGAAAACGTGAAGCAACAACACCCACCAGGATGCTCTAGAAGTGAAGAGATTTGGATGTCAATCTTCTCTCAGGTCACTGTGTGTACCTGATTTCTAACAACAATCATTAAGCTTTTGAAACACATTATAAAATCACAGTCCCTTATCCCATTGGGCTCTCTCCCAAGTCTGAAGATTTTGACTTCATATTTACTGCTCTCAAACATTAACTGCCCTCACCTGGGTATTTACAAAGTCTACCAAAACAAGATTTTTCTAAGTGCTACAACATAACACTTACTATAATTCAACATGCAAACGCCTTCAATTTGAAGTTTGGGGCTATATATTAATTTCCTTATTTAATATTTTTGTGAGTTTCAAGTTTGAGTTATGAGTTTCTCTAAAATGAAAGAAAACTACTTTTTTTAAAGAAATGGGGAGGGGCCAGCCTGGTGGCATAGTGGTGAAGTCTGCGTGCTCCGCTTTGGCGGCCCGGGGTTCGCCGGTTCGGATCCCGGGCGCACACTGACACACCGCTTATCAAGCCATGCTGTGGCAGGTGTCCTACATATAAAGTAGAGGAAGATGGGCACGGATGTTAGGCCAGGGCCAATCTTCCTCAGCAAAAAGAGGAGAATTGGCAACAGATGTTAGCTCGGGGCTAATCTTTCTCACCAAAAAAAAAAAAAAGAAAGAAAAAAGGATTTCTCAAAGAAATATAATGATCTAATATTTAAGAAGCACTTTTCATTAGGTTATAAAAAGTAGAGCTGGAAGGAAGTTTGTGAACCACCTAACCCCGTGGTTTTCAACACGGAGTCATGTTGTCTCCCAGGGGACACCTGGCAATGTCTGGAGACATATTTGGTTGTCACTAGTGGCATCTAGTGGGTAGAGGCCAGGGATGCTGCTAAATATCCTACAATGTAAAAGACAACCCCCCACTACAAAGAATTATCTGGCCCCAAATGTCTAACACTGAGGTTGAGAAAACCTGATTCAACCTAACCATCTCATTTTTTTAATTAAAAATCTTTTTCAATTTCTTTTTTGAAATATTTTATCTATATATTCAATACAGTCATGTGCCGCTTAACAACAGCGATACGTTCTGAAAACTGCCTTGTCAGGCGATTTCATCGTTGTGCAAATATCACAGGGTACACTTACACAAACCTAGATGGTATAGCTACTACACACCTAGGCTATATGGTAATAATCTTAGGGGACCACCGTTGTATATGTGGTCTGTTGCCGACTGAAACGTCGTTATGTGGCACATGACTACACACATGCTTCAAGAAAGAATATACATATACATTTAGAAAAGCATACTTTTGGATTTATTTCACAAAGTGAATACACCCATGTAACCAGAACCCAGATCAAGAAAAAGAACATTATCAGTGCCCCTTTATGACCTCTCCCATCACTATTTTTAGTCAGATAATTGCCGTGTTTCTCCTCACTAGGATTTTGGTTAAATGACACTCAGGAGACCTTATCTGTCTTGTTTGCTATCTTGTATCACAGCACATGAAAAATTGGTTGCCACATAAGAGATGCTCCATAAATACTGAATAAATGAACTTTAAAAGTGGAAGAAGACACATAACTGCCTTCTTGACCCCCTTACCTCAGTTCCAGCCGTTGAGGTACCTACGAACAGATTTCCAAGGAACAAAGTTTGAAAACTACTTGTATAAAATCTAATACCCAAACATCCTGATATTCAAGCTCTTTAACTTTTTACACTATGCCTGGACGAAGTGGGTGATCAAATGGTTAGTTTCCTTCCTTCTTCTATGCATTTCACATCCTCCTACCCTGCTCAAATACATCTACCTAAAAAGGGAATAAAGAAACTTTGCAAATGGAAAAGGTGACAGAGGAAAGACAGTCCTTAATATTGACCCTATTTGAGCAGCATAAAATAACTCATAGATGTACATACTACGGGGACAGTAATCCTCGTCAGGAGAGTCTGCATGGTCTTTGCGGTGATGGTTGAATCGGTAGTCGATGCTGTCATGAACCCAGCCTTTTTCAATGAACAATCCTGGAACTTCGTCTGAGAAAAGCCAGTATCTACAAATCACAACCACATACTAATAAGATACTGATAGATCATGAGTGCAGGATGACTTTATTGTTGGGGAAGATGATTACAGATGATCACTGAACATTCAGACAGATACAAATTATAAAATAAAGCACAGAACACCAAAATTTTTAGAATTTGAGATTTGCTTAATACCTGTAATCTTTTTTTTTTTTTTTTTTGCTGAGGAAGACTGGCTCTGAGCTAACATCTATTGCCAATCCTCCTCCTTTTTTTCCCCCAAAGCCCCAGTAGATAGTTGTATGTCACAGTTGCACATCCCTCTAGTTGCTGTATGTGGGACGTGGCCTCAGCATGGCCGGAGAAGCGGTGCGTCTGTGCGGGCCCGGGATCCGAACCCGGGCCGCCAGTAGCGGAGGCTGCACACTTAACCGCTAGGCCACGGGGCCAGCCCAATACCTGTAATCTTTATAACATCTAATATTTCTCTCCTGTAGCTTCCACACAAAGTATGCACTTAAAATATACGACCAGGGCCCGGCCCCGTGGCTGAGTGGTTCAAGTCCCATGCACTTTGCTTCAGCAGCCCAGGTTCACAGGTTTGGATCCCAGGCGCAGACCTACTCCACTCACCAGCCATGCTGTGGCAGTATCCCACATATAAAGCAGAGGAAGGTTGGCACAGATGTTAGCTCAGGGCCAATCTTCCTCAAGCAAAAAAAAAAAAAAAAGAGGAAGCTTGGCAATGGATGTTAGCTCAGGGCAAATCTTTCTCAGCAAATAAAATAAAATACCTGACCATTTTTAAAGACCTCTATCTGGATTACGTTTCACCTATCACCATAATTTAAGCTTCATATTTGTGGTATCCGCAAGGACAGGGTCCTCTCCTATTTAACTCTGTAACCCTAGCATTTGGCACAGTAAATATTCAATAAATGTGTAATGAGCAATTCTGTTTCCAAAATCCACAAACAGGGAAGCTTGTCTATTCTTAGTACTTCAGACCGTTTCATAACTATTAAGAATACAATGGCCCTTAAAGATGACAAAAGTTTAATAACTCACCTATTATGGTTTCGATCGGTACCAATAGGAGTCCTACGCATGACTAGTTTTGCCTTGGCAATTCCCTCCTGGAAAGCCTTCTCAGCAGCTGCTTTGTGCTTTCGTACTCGTTCTTCTTCAGCTTCACGTTCCAGTTTCACTATTAAAGATAAGAAGAATCAACTAGACTTTTTTCTAGTAAATTCCACTCTTACAAATTAAATAAGATATGAAGTGAAAAGTGCCTGGTATAAAGTAGATTTTCATCAAACCTTAGTTTCCTTCTCCTAATTCTAATCTATTAAAAGAAATGACATATAAGGCAGCAATTTCTATCTGGTCTTCCTATGTTCTTTGAATTTTGGTGGTGTCTCAGTCATCAACTCAATGCAAAATCTTTTCTCTCCAGAATTTAACTTAGTAATTTTAATACCTAATTTTACTTTATTGATAATTAATTTTTAAATGTAACCTTAAAACGGTCCTTAAATGGAATTAATGGAAACATTTTCTGACAGGACAAATCACATGATCTTCAAAATAATACAGATGAATAAAACCAGAATAGCTATTTCAAAATAAAACATATCTGAGTCCTGAGAAATCTGATAGTAATTCAGCTTATTAGCCTTGGTGACAAGAAAAAAGAACTAAGCAAGCAAGGGCAGGGAAGCACTTGTGGATAATAACAATTATTGCATATTAAATACTATTTTTCAAGTTATTCAGCAAGTTACTATTGTTAATGACACCAAAAAAAAGGTTTTAATCAATTTGTTTCTGATCATTAATTATACGGGTCTATTCCATCTAGATAGAAATTTCCCTCAACAACAAAAGAAGCCCATAATCTTGCCTTTTAAGTTTTTCCATAACTGTCACAAATTTTGATACTCTTAAGTACAGAGCACTGCTATTTACAATGTCAGAATTTTTAATGCTGATCCCCTACTGAGGACAACATCTACACTATCGTGAGAATCTGGAAAATGCATCAGTTTAAAGATGTTACTTTACAAAATTAAGACAAATCTCATTTATTTAAAACCAACATGATATTTGTTATCTTTAATACACAGTTTTCTAGCCTGAATGGAACTGTATGTTTGCAACAATAATTACAGCAGAGATCGTACAAAGGTAAATGATAAAAAGAGCAATGGTTAAACGGCAATAAAAAAAAAAAAAAGCTCCTTCTCCTGAGGCCACAAACAAGCAAAAAACAATCTAGGGCAAGTCATCAGAAGAAGACCAAATTTAGCTCCAGAGGTTACAGCACTGAACTAGATATCAAAAGACCTGAACTCAAACTCAAATACTGGCCTTGGCAAAATATTAATATTCTTTGTCCCGTTTCTCTATATCAATAACGGAATATCATACGCCTTTCCTTTCTCCTGTATTAAGATAAATATAACACAAAGAGGAACACTTCAGAAACTCAAGAAGAAAACATTACATTTCAGGTAAAACACAGCTGAAGTGTGATATATATAAAGTTAATCTACACACTGTTTTATTTGGAATGCAATTATACTGTTTTTATTTTTATTTTTTTGTTTGTTTAATTTTATTTATTTATTTTTCCCCCAAAGCCCCAGTAGATAGTTGTATGTCATAGTTGCACATCCTTCTAGTTGCTGTATGTGGGACGCAGCCTCAGCATGGCTGGAGGAGTGGGGCGTCGGTGCGCACCCGGGATCCGAACCCGGGCTGCCAGCAGCAGAGCGCGCGCACTTAACCACTAAGCCACCGGGCCGGCCCAATTATACTGTTTTTAAAATTGAAAAGTACATACATACACATACATACCCACACACACTGTGTATGCACATATATATATATAAACATTTCAATGGCCTTAAGTAGTGTAAACTAAAATGTTTTAAAAGATATATATTTCTAATGAAAGAACTACTAAAGTAACAAAGTTGTTTGACTTAACTTACAATCTCTCACACATAATTTAAGACTGTTTCTAGGTATCTATCTGTCTAATCCATAGCATCCAACTTTGACAAATAAATGGTTTTTACCATCTTCGTTTCATAAGCTGGAAACTTTCATAAGGTTGGAAACTATAACAGTGATCAAAATAGCTTAGTCTCCCCACCCCGCCACCAAGCCCCAGTAGATAGTTGTATGTCACAGCTGCACATCCTTCTAATTGCTGTATGTGGGACTCGGCCTCAGCGTGGCCAGAGAAGTGGTGCGTCGGTGCACAGACGGGATCCGAACCCGGGCCACCAGCAGCGGAGCGCGTGCACTTAACCGCTAAGCCACGGGGCCGGCCCCAAAATAGCTTAGTCTTAAAGACAAAAAAACTTAACAAACTTAGTTGGTTTATTGTGGGTAACAGCACCTCAAACTAACTTTGTGTACACTGTACGGATTCATCAAATAAGTAAATACTGATATTGATGGGTGCCAGGATTCTCAGGATGCCAAGAAGGGAGATACAAATATAGAATGAACCCTTGGGTGTTGACATTTACTTAGGAATAAATTTAATAAAAGAAATACAAAATTTATACTCTAAAAACTACAAAATATTGTTGAGAGAAATTAAAGATCTACATAAATGGAAAACAGTCATGTTCATGGATCAGAAAACAAAACACCATTAAGATGGCAATACTCAAAACTGATCTACAGATTCAACACAATCTGTATCAGAATCCCAGCTGGCTTTTTTGTAGAAGTTAAAAGCTGATTCTAAAATGACTATGGAATTGCAAGGAACCCAGAACAGCCAAAACTATCTTGAAAAAGAACAAGTTAGAGGATTCACATTTCCCCACTTCAAAACTTATTACAAAAGCAACAGCAATCAAGACACTGTGGTATTGGTATAAGGACAGACGTACAGATCACTGGAATAGAATTGAGAGTCCAGAAATAAATCGATGTGTCTATAGTCAAATGATTTTTGATAAGGGTGCCAAGATCATTCAATGGGGGAAAGAATAGTCTTTTCAACAAATGATACTGCGACATCACTGGATAGCCACATGTGAAAGAATGAGGTTGGACCCTTACCTCAGACCATACACAAATATTAACTCAAATTGAATCAAAGACCTAAATATAAGAGCTAAAACTATAAGATTTTTTAGAAGAAAACATAGTGGTAAATCTTCATGACACTGGATTTGACAACAGATTCTTAAATATGACACTAAAACCACAAGCAATCAAAGAAAAAATAGATCAATTGAACTTCATCAACATTTTTAAAATTTGTGCTTCAATGGACACTATCAAGAAAGTGAAAATACAACACACAAAATGGGCGAAAATAGTTGCAGATCGTATATCTGATAAAGGATTTGTATCTAGACTACATCAAGACCCTTTCAGGCCGGCCCCGTGGCTTAGCAGTTAAGTGCGCGTGCTCCGCTACTGGCGGCCCGGGTTCGGATCCCGGGCGCGCACCGATGCACCACTTCTCTGGCCATGCTGAGGCTGCGTCCCACATACAGCAACTAGAAGGATGTGCAACTATGAGGTACAGCTATCTACTGGGGCTTTGGGGGGCAAAAAAAAAAGGAGGAGGACTGTCAATAGATGTTAGCTCAGAGCCGGTCTTCCTCAGCAAAAAGAGGAGGATTAGCATGGATGTTAGCTCAGTGCTGATCTTTCTCACCAAAAAAAAAAGAAAGACTTGCTCACACACATAAAAAAAGGACCCTTTCAACTCAATAATAAAAAGACAAATAACCCAATTTGAAAAAGGGCAAAAGATCTGAAATAACATTCCTCCAAAAAAGATAATACAAATGACCAATGGGCACATGAGAAGATGCTTGACATCATCAGTCACCAAGGAAATGTATATTAAAACCACAATGAGATACTAATTCACAATCACTAGGATGGCTATAATCAGAGAATCATATAATAACAAGTGTTGTAAGGTCACAGATAAGTGGAGAAATCAAAACACTCATACACTACTGGTAGGAAAGTAAATTGTGCAGCCTCTTTGAAAAACAGTCTGGCAGTTCCTTAAACAGTTAAACATAGTTACTATATGACCCAGCAATTCCATTCCTAAGTATATAAGAGAAACGAAAACATACGTCCACACAAAAACTTGTATTCCAATGCTTGTAGCAGCATTGTACACAATAGCCAAAAGGTGGACACAAACCAAATGTCCATCAACTGATGAATGGATCAACAAAATGCGGTATATCCAAATAACGGAATATGATTCAGCCATAAAAAGGAATGAAGTAAGTACTGAAACATGCTACAACATGAATGAACCTTGAAAACATTAGGCTAAGCGAAAGAAGCCAATCACAGATCACATATTTATTATATGATTCCATTTATATATGTCAGAACACGCAAATCTATAGAGAGAGTAGTAGACCAGTGGCTGCTCAGGGCTAGGAAGGATGGGTAGATGGGGTGATGATATGCTAAAGGGTTCAGGGTCTCTTTCTGAGGTAATGAAAATGTTCTAAAATTGACTGTGATTAAGTTCACACAAATCTATAAATATATTTTTAAAACTGAATTATACACTATAAATGGATGAATTGTATGATGTATGAATTATTTCTTGAAGTTGTTTTTTTAAAAAGTTCAGATGTGATAATGTTATCAAAGCTCAAAATTTTTATGTTCTTACATCTTAATAAGAGAGACTAATATCTGAGTTCGCTGTGTGCTGAGGGTTTCAAATACCTTGTCATTTAATTGTTATAACAATCTTAACAAGCATATGAGGAAACTGAGGCATGGATAACTAACTTGCCCAAAGGAATACAGCTAAGTCAGAGGCAGAGTCTGAACTCATGTCAGCAATTCCCAAGTCATATGTTATTTCCACCATGCCTATTTGTGGATTTGGTCCATGACTAAACCCACAAAAGATGCCAACATCACGTTAACCCAAGTCAAACTACCATTAACTGCAGAATGCCAGGCTGAACACTCCTGCTAGAATATTACATACCTAATAGAGTCTGGGCTATTATATACAAAAATAACTAGACAGTTATGACAAAGAGAGACTCTACCCTTACCTTTGCAATTTCCTTCCTTTTACTATCTTCTAAACGCCTTCCCCTTTTCTCTCAACACAAGATTTTACCTTTCATTTCTCTCTCCTGGATTTCCCGCTCCTTCTTAGCCTGAATGGCAAGCAGCCGTCTGCTCTTCACAGCACTAATCATGTCCTCAGCTTCCGTATCTACTTGGGGCTCAAACTTCACAACTTCTTTTCTCCTATCAGTTTTGCCTAACCCATTCTCCTCTTTTCCATTTTCTTTATTTCTGGCTTCCATTTCTTTCCGTTTCTGTTTCTCTGCTCTCTTCTTATCATTTTCTTCCTTCAATACAGCAAGCCGTTCCTTCCACAACTCTGCAGACATCTGCTGTCTGGTTTCCATGTGGTCTTGCACTGAGTATGTCATGAGAATCCGGTGGCAGAGTGCTGTCAAGATCTGTAGCTTCTCTTCTGATGTTAGTTCAAAAAATTCAGAGGTCTCCAGCTTCTCTAGGAACTCATCTTGTACCTCATTGTCCTCAAATGGTGCTGAATCTTTATTATCATCTGTGTCTGAGCCCTCACTTTCTTCCTGAACATCAGATTTGCGCAAGCAGAGCCGCACCAGCTCTGAAACAGAATGCAAAGTCAGAGGGATTTCCGACAGCTTCATTCCCAATTCACCATAGTCTTCTGCTATTTCATCTTGTAATAAGGTCTGTAAGAGGATGACCAATACTCTATTCAGATATAAAAAGCCACCCTTTTCTGCACTCAAGGCTTCCATAAGGGACACAGCAGTAATAGGATACTGAGCATCTGGTAATAGCAGCCCAGAGTAACAGCTCAAGAACTCCACCACCATGGCCACATCCCCAAAGAGTGTGTTGGGCAGCCCTTCAGGAGTATCCACCAATCTAAATGCTGGAAGGTTTTTACCAGTTAACTCTTGGTCCTCGTACCGCTTCTGTTTCTCTAGTCTCTCGAGCATTTCTTTCTCTCTCCGCTCCTTGGCTTTTTCCTTCAACTTTTCTTTTAGCTCTTCTCGTTTCTTTTTCAAATATTCCTTGCGTTGTTCTTCAGACATAGAGGCCCACCTCTTTTTGTGCTCTAGAAGCTCAAAGCGTTTTTGAACAATATTCCGCAATTCTTCTGGGAGACGAGCTCTATCTTCACTAGAGAGGAGACGAGCTGTTTTGGAGATAACACAGGACAGGGCACTCTTCTTGTCCTCCCTGTCTTTGTTTTCTTTGTAGTAGGCAATAAGGTGTAGGGCAGCAGGAGGCAGATGTTTATGAGGTTTACTAGATGACCTAGGTGTACCTCCAGAATTCCGTGGGGCTCGTGTCATCTTCTGAGTGCCTTTGGCCATATCCAACAAAGTCATCTGCTTCATTTTGGTTTTAGGAGTCTTCAACCCCTTTTTGGGAGATTTGGAATTCCCTGTGGATTTCTGTCCATTCAGGATGCCTTTGCTTCTGCCCTTTGCTTTCAAAGGTTTGTCACTGTGCTTTCCTGATTTCTTGGCAGGTGGGCCTTTCTTAGGAATGTGAAAGTTAGCATGTAGTTTGTTGGGTGACATGATCTTCATCACTTCTTCCAGATGCTCTTCTGGAGACTTGGAATTCTTTGAGTTCTTCACTTTGAGTGGTGAGCCATTCAAGGATTTCTTCAAGTGGACATGACACCATAATTTAGGATTTAGTGGTGAACTCAGAGAAGAGTTGTCTGTCTTAGATTTCTTTGAGGGCTTCCTGTCTGGGGATCCAGTATTCTTCCTCTTAGTAGAAGGGTTGAGAGTCATGTACTAGAATTTAAGAACAGGAGCAAAATTAATTTTAAAAACTAATTTAAAGAAGCACTAGTTAAGCATCCTAACTTTTCCCCAGCTATTCAAGCAAAGCTATATGTTCGTTTCTCCTCATAGACACTATGTCCCTGAAAAAACAAATATGTGAATGTTAGCTAATGTTTTAGCCATATCAACACAAAATTCTCTTGATACCCAGACTTAAAAATCTATACTCTGGGGCAGGCCTGGTAGCATATAAGCTCACGCACTCCGCTTTGGCAGCCCCGGGTTCAGAGATTCAGATCCCAGGCACGGACCTATGCACCACTCATCAAACCATGCTGTGGCGGCATCCCACAGAGAAAATAGAGAAGACTGGCAACAGATGTTAGCTCAGGGCCAATCTTCCTCACCAAAAAACAAACAAACAAGGAAAATCTAAAACTGTCACAACCAAGAGGAGGCTAAAGAAATATGATGAGTAATAAAATGCAATACATTAAAAAAAATTCTAGGGGGCCAGCCCCATCACGTAGCAGTTAAGTGTGCACGCTCCGCTGCTGGCAGCCCAGGTTCGGATCCTGGGCACGCACAGATGCACCACTTGTCAGGCCACGTTGTGGCGGCGTCCGACATAAAGTGGAGGAAGATGGGCACAGATGTTAGCCCAGGGCTAGTCTTCCTCAGCAAAAAGAGGAGGATTGGCATGGATGTTAGCTTAGGGCTGATCTTCCTCACATACACACACACAAAAAAATTCTATACTCTAATATTAGATATTTTTGCTATGCAACTAGTTTTCTCTATATATAGATTAGCAGTTCTTAAATACTTTAATGAAATCTGTGAAGCCTTTCCCCAGAAACAACATACAAAATTATGCATACAATTTCAGAGTCCATCCATGGATCCCAGATTAAGGATATCAGATCTAGACAACGGCAACATCTGAAGAATTTTAAAAAATATTGCTCGAGACAGGACTGGATTTTTATTCTTTAAACCTTTGTTTCAACTGGGGGTATTCTATGCTTTTAAGTAGAAAGTAAATTACTTATGTATTTTTGTCTAAATTCAGAAGCATATTTTCTTATTAAAAGTATCAGTGAGGGGCCGGCCCCGTGGCTTAGCGGTTAAGTGCCCGTGCTCTGCTGCTGGCGGCCCGGGGTTCGGATCCCGGGCGCCCACCGACGCACCACTTCTCCGGCCATGCTGAGGCCGCGTCCCACATACAGCAACTAGAAGGATGTGCAGCTGTGACCTACAACTATCTACTGAGGCTTTGGGGGAAAAAAATAAATAATAAAAAATTAAAAAATAATTAAAAAAAAAAAAAAAAGTATCAGTGAGTACGCTAACGACAACAAAACCGTTGCTCACAAATAAGGAGCCCTCCTGACCCTAACTCCTGGGTTCCTCAGACTCCTCTTTGTCCTTTCCCCACATCTCAAGAATTCATTCCTATGAATACATGACTAACTATAAGCCCTCTAAATTCTCAATTTCATACAATTCTCTCTTTGACCATCCCCTCACATCTTTCAAATTCACTCCCTCTAGTACCCCAACTCTGCAATCCTTCAATCCCACCAGGACTTTAAATCCATTAATTCTATCACATTTGCACCAAACTCACTTTCTTATCTTTCTTTACCCAGATTAAATTCCACAGTCCATCATTATAATCAATCCTGCATAAACCTATGGTCCCCTTGTCTCTTCTATTCTATCTAGTTACTCCTGGCCTACACATGCTCAGCTTAAGCATGACTAGAACAGAAGATACAATAACAGTGTGTGGTCTTGCTGGGAATTCATAACCAGGTCCCTCAAATGGGTCTTGAATGCCATCCAGCAATCACAGTATATTCCCTTACACCATTCACTTGCCCACTGTCCTAGACATACATCTTCTCCTCAAACCTCCACTTTATCCCCATCACGTAGAATTAGAAAATAGGTTATAACTCAGTCAACTTGTCATAATGCCACTGTTTCTATTTAAATGTGTATTTAAAAAAAAAAAAACACACTGTTGCTTTTGATGCTTTAAAGAATATAATTACAATGAAAACAGCCTGGCAGCTAAAATGCAAACTAAATGAAATAATAACCAAGCAAGGCAAAAGTATAACCAATTTCAAAAAAATTTCTTGTTTCAAGTATTAGGAGAAAGCCTAGACAACCTCTAGAATACTTGATTTCTATTACCAAAAGCAGCTTAAGCACATAGAGGGCACTCAGAGACTTGCTGAACTTAATTTCAGGTTTCTGAGTGGAAAGGGACTAACTTGATAAAAGCAACATGTAAAGAAGCAGTCTGCAGGCGGTGGGTAAGACAGGTTAGTGTGAGATGAGACTGTAGACAAGGAAACAGCTAAAGACTATCGAATACGAAATTATGAGCCCCTTTAAAAAGACCATATCGGGAAACGGCTATGGTGAAATAAATCCCAGAGATGATACAGAAGAACACCTATGCTCTTGTTAGGAGTAAACAAACAAGTACAGTATAATTTAATAAGCTGTACTTAAAATGCCAAATAAGATTTAAACAGTAAGGACGTAATCATCAGAGAAACAAATTCACAGAACCAAGGCAGCACAAGAGGTAGAAATATGATCTGCAACGAATGAGTGGGCTATACTTAACAAATTTTTTCTCTGGCTAAGTTCTCTAACTTTAAAGGCCAATCTTCCTTTTAAGAATTACAGACAACTGCAGGTTACTGTTCCTCTAGCTGGCTGTTTTTATTGCCTGACTAAAACTGGATATTCTGTTCCCCAATTAGCATCCTCTGTATGGGCTGAGAAAGAGGTTTCATGGATTACAGAACATAAACACTATCTGTGACTCAGGGGATACTTTCCCCAGAAGGAGAATATCCCAGTTCTAGTTCCCCAGAACTAAATTTTAAAATGTTAAAAAGAATAAGCAAAGATAACTTATGTAAGATTCCATTCTCTTCATGGACAGTAATAGTACCAATACTCCAAAGAGAACAATATTTCAAAGACCATACTGCAAATCATAGAGTAAGACCCAACACTACTCTGGCAGGAATTAATATCTTCCAAAAGTTAACCACCTCCCTCTTCAGATAGCTTGGAAAATCTTCAGAGTACAGACATAACTTAGAAGCACTGTATTATGCAGAAATGATGCAAGAAAGAGCTGGGATGGCTTAGCCATGAGAGGGTCCAGCAACCCACTTTTATTTATAAGGTGTGTTTTTTGCCAAGCCACACCATATAATTTTTTTTCCTTAAAAATGAAAGAAATTAACTCACCCAACCCCCTCCCAACAGGCCGGCTCCCCGCGTGAGCAGTCCTTCAGTAACTGGATCATCTCAGCAAAGGGCATACAGGGCAGTCACAGCCAAATGGGAGCCGGCATGGCTGGATTCAGGGGGATCTGAAAAAGTATAAAACCACTTATATGCTAAGGGTGTCCCCTATCCCCAATTCAGCATAAGTAATCTACTAGAGTAGTGCATAGGGAGGGAGAAAAGAATGGACATCTGGATTAATAAGATTATACAGATTTTCGGCAAAGGCCCTTCCTAACCGCTAAACAGGAAAAAAATGTTTATGAATGTCTCAGCAACATAAGAGGGTATAAGTAAAATAGTGTATACAATTCTGTACTTGTTCCCTGTCACCTGGAACAAACCACCACCAAAAACAGAGAAATCTAATAAATAAGAGAAAAATGAAGAAACTTTATTTATAGCAGCTCATTCAGATGCTAAATTTAACTTAACAGTAAACAGCAAGAACCCTAAATTAGAAAACTATGGCAATTCCGATTCTTATTTCACTCTTCTCATTCACCCAAAAAACCACGTTAGGACTTTCAGGCAACATTCACATAGTGGGGCTTGTCTCAATCTCTAGATGCCTTTATCAGCAAATTTTTGAAATGTGTTACTATAAAATATTTTTAAGTGCTTTGAAAATTAATATAATTTATTTTTCAAGTACTTCTGCTCTAGTCTCTAACTCATAAACAAACTTCAAGAGCCAAAATTTATTTAAAGAAAAATCTTAGAGCTATGAGCACTAACTTGAAACATCAGTTATTAGGAGGGATAAGAAACATCTTTTAAAATATCTAACAATTAATATCACTAGTAATGAGCCAAAATTACATCATGTGCCTTCTGATATGACTGAGAATACATTAATTCTGTGGTGTTTCCACCAAAAATTCATAGCCTGAAATTAATCACGAGGAAATAAACCCAAATTGAGGAGCATTATACAAAATAATTGGCTTATAGAGCCAATGGCCTAGTGGTTCAAGTTTGGCACTCTCACCCCTTCAACAGCCCGGGTTCGGTTCCCAGGTGCAGAACCACACCACTTGTCTATCAGTTGCCATGCTGTGACAGCAGCTCACAAAGAAGAACTAGAAGGACTTACAACTAGGATATACAACTATGCACTGAGGCTTTGGGGAGGAGAGAAAAAAAAAAAGATTGGCAACAGATGTTAGCACAGGTCGAATCTTCCCAGCAAAAATAATAATAATTGGCTTGTATTCTTAAGAAATGTTAAGGTTTTTGAAAGACAAAGAAAAGCAGAGTGACTGTTTCAGATTAGAGGAAACTAAAGAGACATAACAAGTAACTGTAATATATGATACTACATAGGATCCTATTAAAACCAAAACAAATTTTTTTTGGCTAAAAGGACATTATTGGGACAACTGGCCAAATTTCAGTAAGAACTGTAGATCAGATAATAGTATTGTTTCAATGTTAATTTCCTGATTTTAATAACTATATGCTAGAAAACATCCTTGTGTTTAGGAAACAAAATATTCAAGTATTTTGTAAAAGGGCATCCTGTCTTACAGCCAACCCTCAAATGGCTCAGAAAAAAATAATTTGTGTGTTTGTAAAGAGAGAAAATAATAAAACAAATGTGTTAAATAGTAACATTTGAGGAATCTACTTGAAGAGTACACGGAAATTCTTTAAAGTATTTTTTCAACTTTTCTGTATGAAATTATTTCAAAATAAAATGTCTTTATTTATTTATTTATTTATTTATTTATTTTTGTGAGGAAGATCAGGCCTGAGCTAACATTCAATGCCAATCCTCTTTTTACCGAAGAAGATTGGCCCTGGGCTAACATCTGTGCCCATCTTCCTCACCGCCACAGCATGGCTTGACAAGCCATGTCAGTGTCGGTGCATGCCCGGGATCCGAACCTGTAAGCCCTTGGGCCGCCGAAGCGGAGTGCCCACACTTAACCACTATGTCACCGGGCCGGCCCCTAAAATGTCTTTAAAATGTAGTAAGAACTATATTAAATCAGTCCAAATTATTTCAGGATTCCAAATATCTTAAGAAGTTTTATTTTCTTGTTATGCCTCTATCCAAAAGCTTCCCTACTAGGATATACCAATCCAAAGCAAGAGTTCAAACATTACAGATGGACCAACAAAACACTAGAGCTGCAATGTATTACAAGAGGGAAATGAGCTAAGATGGCTGATTTCATTTTAGATGACGGTTATCACCCAACTGCCCTGTAAACCATTCCTCCAAGTCATTAAGGCCTACAAAAAATTGTTATCCTCAACGAACAGAACTCCTAAATGAATTTAAAAAAAAAAAAAAAAAGGAAATGAATTCCCTAGCCATGTACCTATTATACTCATGCTAAACAGCACAGGATATAAGAATAAGATAGTTCTTATTCTCAAGTAATTTATTTTCTAGAGTTTACAAGACCACAAACACCCCCTCATCATCCCACTAGGCTGTACTCAGATAACACTCCAAATTTCTATTATCTCTAAATAATTTTCCTCTCTCCCATCTAAGCTCTCCCCATTGGTCCTTTCCTAAAACTATTACTCAGACCTTGCTTCCTCTTTCCAGGCCTCATCTCTCTCTACAGCAGTTGTATTCAACAGTCTAGTAGAACATTTATTTCTATAAAAACCAAAGAGAAGACAAAGAGAAAAGGATTTTTTTTAACTCATTGCCTTCGGGACAGGCGGATCATATGTGATCAATTCTAATCCTCAATGCATTATTTAAAATTTCCTTTAGATGAGGAAAGAATCCAAAGCCATGTTTTATGGTCTACTTCTCTGTGCCTTTACTATATCCTGTCCTGGCTGAGATGCCAAAAGTTCTTTAAGAAAACTAATTTAAAAAAAAAAAGAAAGAAAAAAGAAAACTAATTTTACAAAAAGGAAAAATACAATTTTTATGCAAAACTCAGGAGACAAAAATCAGTAAAATGTCAAATAGCTAGTATTAGGGAATAAGAAATTATTGTTTAAGGTTGGGAAATTACATAAAAAGATAAGTATATGCCCTTAATTTTGTAGACTGGTATTCTACATGAGTTTCAATTTCTCTAAGTAGAATCACTGCCTTCTTACAGCAGTTGAGTCTAAAGAAGCTTGCAGTTCCTAGCCTCAATCTGAATTACAGACAAATTTCATTAATATTTTCAGCCCTCATTAGAAAATCTGAGAGAAGCCGATTTCTTCAGCAACTTCAAGATATAAGTTCCTGGAATTCTAGACTCTGACTCCTATAAAAAGTGTGGATCAGCTTTTTGTTCTAATAAACTCCAAAGACCTTTTACCCATAAATAATACTCAGTTTTTTCTTTCATATACTTGAATCACTAAACTGAAATACAAAAAAGATACATGTCAAATTTAAAAATAGGAAAATATTTAAGGACTCAAATGATCCAAGAGTCTAAAACCCATTCAGAGACGATTTTATATAGGATTCTCATACAGTAAAGATAGTGATCTCATGTTATAACCACCAAAAGCTATAATCACAGTTCCGAAACTCTACAGCAATGAAATGACAATGAATTAAAATTTCCCCTTGGTAAACAAAAATATTTAAGAAAAAATTTTGGTTTATTAGAGTTCCATGGAAAATTTAGTTCTGATTTAGAAAAAGCCAATTAATTCCTAAATTTTTCTTTTCAAGCAAATAATAAAAATCTGAAGAGCATAATGGAAGATAATGCTTAATTGTGCTGGTCTAGACTAAGAAAACATGCTAGATGCTAAACTATGGTTGGAGGGCTTTACCAATGTTTGGAAAAATAAAATTATTTCTTAATATACTTTTTCAGCAAAACGAACGTAAGACAATTGTGGTAATTTAGTGGTATGACTCAAGATATCCTTAGTTTTTCACAATTAAAAGGAAAGAGGAGAAAAAAGAAATCCTGGAACTCTGACTTGGTTTCAATAAATCAGCAACCTCTCCTGGTCCCATTCTGGCCCAGAGACCAAGAGAAAAGTATCAGTATGCAAATAAGCAAATTTACCAACAAAAGAAGCATAAATACTCTCAAAACCTACATTAAAAATCTTATTGGAGGGCCGGCCCCAGGGCGTAGTGGTTAAGTTCGGCGCACTCCGCTTTGGTGGCCCAGGTTCACGGGTTCGGATCCCGGGCACAGATCTACAGCACTGTCAGCTGTGGCAGCAACCCACATATAAAGTGGAGGAAGATTGGGACAGATGTTAACTCAGGGCTAATCTTCCTCAAGCAAAAAAAAGAGGAAAACTGGCAACATATGTCAGCTCAGGGCTAATCTTCCTCAGAAAAAAGAGAAATCTTATTGGAGAAACCCTGAGATGCAAAAGACAGTCAGAAATCCAAGGCCAACGCCTTGGCTTTGGTCATTCACTTTCCATTGGTTCTAATTAGACTAGCCTCAGTTTCCCCACCTGGAAAATAAGATACAACTTTATAAGAATGTTTTGAAGATCAAATGAGATGATTAAAGGAAAAAAAACACGTTCTCAAGAGTGAAATGCTAGATTTTCTACTAACCTGTGATAAAAACTAATACTTATTCCAAGTCTTTTTCAAGGCTGCCAGTATATTTGATCATCTTATCTGATATACAAAACCAGTTTTCATTTTTTAGAAAGCAATTTGCAAAATATTTCTTGTATTTATACCATACCTCATTCCAAGAAAGATCTGAGGCAAAAAAGCACATATATGTAGTTTGTTTGTTTTTTAATCATGCAACCATAGTAAAAAATAAATTGAACTAGGAGAGATATTCAATGCAGCCTCTCCCCTACCAACACCACATTACAACCTAGATGAAATAGCTGTATCTGAAAATTTTCTAATTCATTACCTAATGTTAGTGTTAAAAATGTGCTATAAATCTAATACTATTGGAGCCATCTGAGAAAATAAACTCATCTAATAGCGTTCTATCCTGCTGTTCAAAAAAATAACAGTGACCTTACCTTGTACGGATCAAGTAAAAAGTCACTGAACTTGCTAGGCAGGGAATATTTCTTCACCAATTCATCTTCTACCACCCAAGGTGCATTTTCACCAGTACCAGCCCGTAATGCGTTATGCCGTATAAAGTACCGAAGTATCTCCTTATTTGGTGGGCGTTCTGTACGAATCAAGCTGTCTGCTGGCACATTACTGATGATCTAGGTTAACAAATATAAATAACTCACCACTAGGATAAAAAGCAATTAACCAATGAGAACAAACATTTATGTTCTCCCCAGAAAAATCATAATTCAATCTATAAAGTTAGGCTATAAACTAGATGGAAGAAAAAGCAGAATAACTTTCAGAGACAGAATGTTAAAGATATCGCTAGGCAATTTGTCATATGTCTCAGAGTCCTAAAAATGTGTATACCTGTTGAACCAGCAATTCCTCTTGTTAAGAATTTAGAAGTAAATGCATAGTCATCAACTGCTTAGAAAAGGAAAAAAAAAAAGAAAAAAAACGGGAAAACTACATAAAGGTACATCAATAAGGGATTCATTTTTTTATTAAAACAAATCCATATAATGAACACTAAGCAGACATGAAGGGAAAATGTTTCTCAATCAGGACAAATTTATCAGAATCTAGGGTGCTATTAAAATGCAGGTGCCTGGGCATCACCACAAACTTACTGAAACAGAATCCCTGGAGGTAGAGCATGGGAATCTACATTTTTAATAAATTTCCTTGGTGACCATCATACATGCTACAACCTGAGAATATTGTTTGGAAGAAAATTTAATGACGTTACAGATGCTTACATCTGTACCATACATCTGAAATGTAAATGAAAAAAGCAAGTTACAAAATAGTATGTATAGAATATTCCTACTTTTAAAAGTCACTTTAAAGCTAACCACCATTAGGGGCCGGCCCAGTGGCGCAAGCAGTTAAGTGCGCGCGCTCCGCTGCAGCGGCCCGAGGTTCGCCAGTTCGGATCCCAGGCACACACCGACGCACTGCTTGTCAAGCCATGCTGCGGCAGCATCCCATATAAAGTGGCGGAAGATGGGCACGGACGTTAGCCCACGGCCAGTCTTCCTCAGGAAAAAAAGAGGAGGATTGGCAGATGTTAGCACAGGGCTGATCTCCTCACACAAAAAAACAAATAATAAATAAATTTTTAAAAAGCTTTAAAAAAAAAAAAAAAAGAGCTAACCACCATTGGGGCCGGCTCAGTGGCGTAGCAGTTAAGTTCACATCTGCTGCTGCGGCGGCCCGGGGTTAGCCGGTTCAGATCCTTGGTGCGGACCTACTCACTGCTCATCAAGCCATGCTGAGGTGCGTCCCATATAGAAGAGCTACAACTCTACAACTATGATACACAACTATGTACTGGGGCTTTGGGGAGAAAAAAGAAAAAAGAGGAAGACTGGCAACAGACATTAGCACAGGGTCAATCTTCCTCAAAAAAAAAAAAAAAAAAAAAAAAGCTAACCACCATTAACCACATCTATAGTCACCAATTATAATCTCTGAGTAAGGGATTAAAGTTATCTTTTTTCTTATTTGTATTTCCTATCTTCCTATAAACAATATCCACTACACCTGAACAAAACAACTTCCACTCATCAATAAGAACGCACATTCCCATAATTCGGGAAGTGGTGGAGACTCCGGAGCAATAATGTTTTAATTAGCTACCTTGCTGAATGGGAAGTAAGAAACTCAGTGAAAACCTGTATTTAACATCCTACTTAACATTTGAAAATATAAAGAAATCCTAACAATCCAGCCATGTCTTCAGATCACTAACTGTAAAACAAATGAGTCAACATGGAATAAGACTTGTCAACATTCTGAGGTGGGAAAAAACCAACACTCTAAAGAGGCAAAAGATCTGGGTTATAATCCTTCCCAATCTCATTCACTAAATTAGGAACTTGGAGAGAATTATTAAATTTCTCAGGCCTTAGTTGTTTTTTCTATAAAACAGTTAAACATGAAGACAAATATGCAGCTGCCTTCCAGACCCAGACACCCATCCCGATTCTTTCTAATTATAAGATTTTACACATACAGGTATACGAGTACCTGAAAGTTAATATGCCTTATTTCATGGAATCAAAGACACTATTAACGAAAGACATTATTTAATGCACCACTAAGAAAAAAGTCCTTGCCAATTGACTTTAAGATATATCCTGATTCTGGACATGTTAAAAAATATGAAAGATGAACATCTTAGAATCAATAAAACATAGCACTAAGTTATTTTAAGGCTATTTACTGTTTTAGATTATTAGCTCCACAGATTCCTTGTAAAAGCACTGATTAGAGGTGACTCAGTTTGCGTTTAATTATATTATAAACTGCTCTACTTTTAAGTGAGAAGAGCTATTTCCTTGGGAAGTCCATAACGACTGGGAACAGATTCTTATTTTTCAAAAACCAGTCTGAAGCTCAAATGCAAATTATTCACACTCTAATAATTCCTATTAAAAATAAAAAAGCATGCTATCTCCCAGGAAAGAAAATACAATTTAACTTAAAGTCATAATTACTAAGACTCAGAATTTGTTGTAAAAACACATTTACTTACATTTTTCTTTAGCACATTTTCTCTGAGCCCAATGATATTTTCTTAAACAACATCTACTACATGTAAGAGGTTTAATATAAAGTGCCAACTAACCTTGTCTTCATTTTGTAGTTTCACATCATATTTGTGAGGCAGAAATTTTGGAGGAGCCCATTTCCTTTCTCCTTTTTTTAATGAAGTAGGGAGCTTTCGCGGGGATCTACGTGCTCTGTCATCTAGTCAAATCAATAGAAAATGAGTGGAATAAAATAATTCTTTTAATTCTATCCATTCATTCATTAACATTAATCTTACTGAACATCTATTCTGCACTAGGCACTGCGTGATGGGGCACCAAGATGAATCATAAAGTTCTTACCTGAAATAGCTAAAGTCTGTGGGAGGAGTCAACAATAATTACAATACAATGTGATAAATACTATAATATAAGTTGGTACAGAAAAATACTATGCGAGGAGAGAGAAGCAATGTCTAACTTAATCTGGAAGATAGGCAGGAAAGGCCTAGAAAGAATATGACTTGTTCAGACACTGCAAGTAATGAGGTATGGGTGAACATGATCTAGAGTACAGTCTAAAAAAAAAAAAAAAAAAATCAGACTGAAGAAGTAAGTAGGGGCCAAATTATAAACAACCTTGTATACTGTTTAAAGAGATTGGAATATGTCTTGTGGGCACTAGAGAAACAAAGGATGTTTGGTCTGATTAGATGTACATTTTAGAAAGATCATTAGTGTGAAAAAATTAAGAAAAAGAGAAGAACACTTGCAGCAGTTAGAAAATGAATAAAATGGGAAGGTGAGACTGAAGATAATGAAACCAGAAGATATGACGCTAAACATCTGAATTAATGTAACTGGAATGGAGAAGAGGTGAGGTATTTAGAAGACAGTAACCAATTAGATGTGGGAATGGTAAAGGCTTCCAAGTTTTCTGCCTTAGGGACTGAGTAAACGATGGTGTCATTAACTGAGTAAGAGAATGTTGAAAGAATAGCAGGGTTCTTGTTTACCTGCTTTGGGGAGACAACATAAAAAGTGAGATGATCAGTTTAGCTTTACATATGTTAAATTTGAATTGCCTGGGACATACAAGTGAGAATTTGGTCTAGAGTTAAGAAATTAAACTGATCTAGGCTTGGGAATCATCAGCCTATATACAGATTAAGAGTTTAAACTATGGGCATGAATGAAATACAACAGTACGTTTGTATCTAAAAAAAAAAAGAACAAAACCCTATGAAAAAAATCTAAGGAATGGCAGGAGAAAAAAGGTAAAAAAGCACCAAAGTAGTTGGAGAACTAGGAGACTGCAGTATCAAATAAGCTAAAAAGACATGAGAGCGACAGTGTTAAATGTTAAGAGAAAAGTAAAACATACACTAAAAAGAAATCAGTGGATATGGAGATTAGGGAATCACCTATAACCCTGTTAGGAACAGTTTCAGGAGTAAAGAGGCAGAAGTTAAGACTAATAGCATAAGGAATAAACTGATGGTCAGAAAGTGAAGACAATATTTTTAAGAATCTTGGTTTGAATGAATAAGACAGAAATAGAACAACTAGATCAAGAGAGGATGTTTTTGTTTATAGAAAATGGGATTTTTCGGGCCGGCCCCGTGGCTTAGCGGTTAAGCGCGCGTGCTCTGCTACTGGCGGCCCGGGTTCGGATCCCGGGC